CGACAGATCTCTGGGAATCGCATGGACGTCCAGCGCTGGCCGAACTCTTTGCCTCGAGTGTCTACTCGTTTTTGGGTAGAGCTCTGCTTTAGCTAGGCTTTTAGCTTGCATTTCAGCTTCATTTCAGTTCATTTTCTTTCATTTCATCTTCAGTTTTAGCTTGCACACTGTAAATGACGAGTTCAACGTTCAACAACGCTTCCACAAACAATAACGATTTCTTTTTTCAGTTCTACTCTCATCCACGCCCACCTCACTGTCAACATTTGTGATTTTTGATGGAATCGCGCTCAGTGTTTCCATGTTTTCCGTTCTTCGAATCAGTGGAGCGCACTTGAATCCAGGTAGACAGAAAGCCTCAAAAAAAGGCCTTAAGTCTAGTTAGGGTGCTGGCTTGGTTGACCTAAGTAGCCTGGATTTGTTAGAGGCTTGGTTGACCTAAGTAGCCTGGAGCTTGGCCTGGACTGGTTTCTGGCTATCTGGCTTGGTTTTAATCGAAAGCCAAATTCAGACCAAGGCAAGGTAATAGGAAAACCAGATTAGGCTCAAGATCAAACAATAAGCTGATTTTGTTAGGCTTTTTAGACTGCAACTGTCTTCTAGAGATTTAGAGAAGCTAGAGAACCAGCTAGAGAATCAGCTAGAGAATCAGCTAGAGAACCAGCTAGGGAACGAGATAGAGAATCAGCTAGAGAATCAGCTAGAGAATCAGCTAGGGAATCAGATAGAGAATCAGCTAGAGAATCAGATAGAGAATCAGCTAGAGAATGATATAGGGAATCAGCTAGAGAATGAGATAGAGAATCAGCTAGAGAATCAGCTAGAGAACTAGCTAAAGAACCAACTAGAGAATCAGCTAGAGAACCAACTAGAGAGTCAGCTAGAGAATCAGAGTTTGGCTTCTTCGTAGCTTTGAGACAGCTTAAATCTGCTAGACTCATAAGACTAGCTGGCCTACACTTGAAAGCATTCTTCGATTCGATCGCCAGCCTAGATGATTGGAGGATTCTGGAGTCAAGCTCAGGTCAATGCTAGCAATAAAGTCAGGTTTTGAGTTAGAACAAGGATTCTAGCCTGGCTTTTGGCTAGTTTGTAGGCCACCAGATCACGCTAAAGTTAGCAATAAATGTAGAGGAAAGCCTGAGTCAACGTCCTGATAAGGACAAGATCATAGTTTCCCAGCAAAGTGATGTTAGATCCTGGTTTCCCAGCAAAATGGTCAGATCCTGGTTCCCCAGCAAAGTGATGTTACAGCTGTAAAATTAAAACAGCTGCAAAATCAGATGAAGCAGGTTCAGTCAAGGGTTTGATCTGCTCAAAATGAATCTCAGCGATCTCTCTGGCCTACACGATTTGCGGGAAAATGTCCGTGATCTCACTCGTCTCCTACACGATTTCCCAATTTTTTGGCGCTTTTTTTGGTGAGCTTAATTGAATTGAATTGATTGAATTGGATTGAATTGATTGAATATTCGTTCTTCTTTCTATTTAAAGCTTTTAGGTACAGCACTTGGATGTTGGGTGATGACAGCGGATCGTTATGAAGACACATTTATTGGAAATTCGTTGACTGCAGAGGATTACAATCCGCAAATCAATCGATTCAAGGTATTAAAATGCGCGACTCTTGCAAAGTCTTTCTAGTGAAAGCACTTTGTTTAAGTTTAAATCCAGGTTAGGTGACTGTTCACAGCAAGTATCAAGATCAAATCCGACTAGGGCCTAAGAGTAAGGTTTTTGGGTGAATAGCGATCTTCTAATCGATTTCTAGGGTCAGTAAATCAAGCTAAACCAAGTCTTACAGGAGTACAGTAGTTTATCTAGGATTATAGCTTTTTCTAGAGCTTCTGGTTTCTTACTTTTGTTGACCAAGGATTCTTGGCATAGCTTTGGAAAGCTTTGGAGAGCTTTGGAGAGCTTTGGAGAGCTTTGGAGAGCTTTGGTAAGCCTTGGAAAGCTTTTGAGAGCTTTGGAAAGCTTTTGAAAGTCTTTGGAAAGCTTTGGAGAGCTTTGGTAAGCCTTGGAAAGCCTTGGAGAGCTTTTGAGAGCTTTGGTAAGCCTTGGAAAGCTTTTGAAAGCCTTGAAAAGCTTTAAAAACTTAACCCAATGATTTACAGGCTCTCTGTCTTGAATCTCTTCTCAACTCACTCCTGATTTTGTCGCATCTACTTGCAAGCGATTCAACGAAAGAAATGATTCCATTGATCGTCGGATTGGTTAGGGTTGGTCTAAAGAAAAAGTAGAAGAACAATTCGTTTTTCTCTAATCTTTCCATGAAACTATCGCAGGTTTAGATAAACAAAAAGATAGAGATACCGATCTAAACATAAAGATCTAAACATTTAGTTCTTATTGAAATCTAATTTTGCTCATTTCTAAGTCAACAATCGATGTTTTCTTTTCTTTATCGATCTACAATCTTTTCTTTATCAATCTTTGCAGGTGTGCTCGTTTTCCTCAGGTGTTTCCCTGCTCGGCCTCTTCGGCTCTCCATCCCTTTCCCTTGCTTCCTCGACAATTCGCTCAATTCTCCTCTCATCACTTTCTCCACTAGCTTTCTTCTATCTAATGTTATTGGCGGCTATTGGTTCGTCACTTCTTTCAGCTGTCTTCTATTTGTGGTTAGTTTTTCGATTTAAAAACATTTGATATAAACAAAACAAGGAAAAGCTGGCTTAAAGCTAGACTTAACAAAAGCTAGCTTAAAGCTAGATCTAACTAAAGCTGGCTTAAAGCTAGACTTAACAGAAGCTGGCTTAAAGATCGGCTTAACAAAAGCTAGCTTAAAGCTAGGACTAACAAAAGCTGGCTTAAAGCTGGCTTAAAGCTAGGCTTAACAAAAGCTAGCTTAAAGCTAGAACTAACAAAAGCTGGCTTAAAGCTGGCTTAAAGCTAGGCTTAACAAAAGCTGGCTTAAAGCTAGACTTAACAAAAACTGGCTTAAAGCTAGATCTAACAAAAGCTGGCTTAATGCTAGAACTAATAAAAGCTGGCTTAAAGCTAGACTTAACAAAAACTGGCTCTTTCAGGCTCTAACGCCTAAGTGTAAAAAAGAATTATAGAAATAATCTAGAAAGAAATGATAATAGAATTAAACTCTTAACATTTTGACTAATATTTAAAGCTCAATCACTCAGTTTTTGATAGGAAAGCAGTTTAATAAAGTTTTTCTTTTATAAAAAGACACTTTTCTAAAAAGACAAAAGCAATTGCATTCTTTATAAACATAAAGAATTCAATTGCTAAAGAGTGATTCAATTTTGTTGAAATTCTTAATTGAAAAGTTAAAATCGGTTTTAAAACTTATCAAATTATCAAGAATTATCAAGAATTCACAAATTATTGCTTCAACTTTACTTATTAGGTTGATGCAAAAGTCTTTTTCATTTTTTTTCGTACTTCCGTTAAAAAGTGACAAATGGACCAATTGAACAACGGTTTATTGCATTCGAAAGGCCAATCATTTTTCTGCAAAATGACATTAAAACGAGTTTAAAATGTCTTATGTCTAGATTTTTTTTGAGAGCATGAAGTCGGGTAGTCAAAAAAAGGCGACGGCTCGATGATGCATTTTAGACGCTTTAGCTAAGGAAACCAATCTTGATGTTAATAAATAAAAGATAGAGCACAAAAAGTTAGATATCTTTTTTCAGATTTTCAGAGAAATTGATTCAGCCAATTTCTTTATAGAGGTTTTTATAGATTTTTATGAAAAACCCGTTTTTCACTCTCGAATTTGCTTGAAAGTGAACCCAAAATTGACTTAAAAAGATGGGAAATTCAACAATAAAACACAGCAAACCATAGGTTAATTGATGACTTTTTTATTTTTCAAAAGAAGTACGAATGAAAAATGAAAAAGACTTTTGCATCAATACCTAATAATTGATTTTCTTTCAGCTTTCGATCATCGATTCCTCGTCAAAATTCCCTTGAAAATAATGATTTCCCAATTTTATCTAAATAAAGTACTTGTTCTTTGTACATTCTTGTACTTTATGCTTCAAATTTAAACGAATCCCTTTGGCATTTTGGATATTAAAGTGAAAAGGACAAATGAAAAGGACATTAAAGTGAAAGGACAAATGAAAAGGACATTAAAAATCACCGCTATAAAGAGAAATCAAAGTTTTCAGTGTATCATCTGATGGATTCATTTTTGCAGTAGGAAATGTAAAGGAAAACATTTCCTCTGCTTTTCCTTTTCCTTTACTTTCCTATTCAATTTCTATACCTCGAGTTATCAAGTGTTTAAACTTGTTGCCAGTAAATGTTCATTTCAATGTGCATAAATGTTGACGTTCAATGTTCCAAAATGCCAATGTTGCCATAAAGCCCCATTTCCATAAATGTTCACGTTCCAATTGTTGCAGTGGATGTTCACGTTCCAATTGTTGCCAGTAAATGTTCACGTTCCAATTGTTGCAGTGGATGTTCACGTTCCAATTGTTGCCAGTAAATGTTCACGTTCAATGCAGTGGGCCGTCAAGGCCAGTAAATGTCACGTTCAATGTGCAGAAATGGACGTCAAGGCCAGAAGAGAATGGCCGTAATGTTGCGTCAAGTTGCAGTAATGTCGTCAATGTTGCCGAATGCACGTCAATTGTTGCCGAAGTCGGCCAGAAGTGATTGTTGCCGTATGCAGTTCAATTGTTGCCAGTAAGTTGGTGCGGGTGTTGCGATGTGATTGTTGCAGTAAATGTTAGTTAATTGTTGCTAGTAAATGTTCACGAAAAATCTTCTCGTTAAATTTATACAAATTTACATGAAATTCTCAAATAAAAATCACAAAAAGAATGCTTAAAAATGCTTTAAAAATGCTTTAAAATGCTTTAAAATACTTTAAAAATGCTTTAAAAATGCAAAAATTTCCCGTAGGAATTTCGAGAGATCAATTTAAATTAAAAAAAAAAAAAAATTTTTTCTATTTTTTTAAGCTCGAGATTATGCAAAAATATCTTTGATTTTATTAGATTTTTTTAAATTTTAAAAATAAATTATAAACATTTAGATGAATAGGTGGCTGCCGCGTTGTAGAGATTGAAATTCTTTGTGTGCAACGCTGATTGGGCACCGGTTGTTGTGGGGAAAGCGCCGTAGGAGGCGCCGAAAAGTCCCGAAGATGTCTGTAATCGGGGAAGATAAAAAAAAAAGATATAAAAAAGAGATTCAGTTTATCGAATTGTTTTTGTTTTTTTTCTTAGAAAGTTACAGTTATATTTGATTGTTTACAGGTTTCGGCAGCTTTAGACTAAACAGTAATCTCGTTGTCTTTAAGAGTTACAGATGGCTAAACAGTTACAGGTGGCTCTAGACTGAACAGTTAGCTCGTTGTCTTTAACAGTTACAAGTAGCTAAACAGTTACAAGTAGCTCTAGACTGAACAGTAATCTTGTTCTCTTTAACAGTTACAGGTAACTAAACAGTTACAAGTAGCTCTGAACTAAACACTTAGCTCCTTGTCTTTAACAGTTACTGGTAGGTAAACAGTTACAGGTAGCTCTAGACTAAACAGCTATCTTGTTGTCTTTAACAGTTGCAGGTAGCTAAACAGTCACAGCTAACTAAACAGTTACAAGTAGCTCTAGACTAAACAGCAAATCTCTGCTCTTAAGTCGACAGCACTCTCTCGAAACTCTATTTGTTACTCCTGGAATGGGTAAATGAGAATTCAGTTGCTCAGCTAAGAATCCAGAAATGAGACTTTCCAAACACTAACCAAACGATTGATTATTTTCTCGCTAGATTTGTGATTGTGCTAGATTCGGAATAAAATCTCGAAATGATCATTGCCGAATCGGTTCCTCTCTCACGCACTGCACAGAATTGTATTTTAGAAATAATAGATTATATTATAATGCTTTACAGAGAATTGTTGAATTTAATTGTTGAATTATTTTAATGAAACTGTTAGTCTACAGTGATCTTAGGGACTTCTGAGGGTTACTGTAGGGATATTGTAGGGATATTGTAAGGATATTGTAAGGATTACTGTAATGATATTGTAAAGGCTATTGTAGAGATTACTGTAAAGATATTGTAACGATTATTGTAAGGATTACGGCAACGATATAATAGCGATCTGGTTTCTATATAATCATAAGATATTCAGTTATTGAAGTGATACATTGGATTTCATTTTCTCGAGTACTACAGTACTCCGAAGGTCTAAAAAGTTACAGTAACCATAGGATTGGATTGGCGTAAACTCAGCCGGCTACAAATTGTCATATTCGATTGTATTCTTTATTAGACTAACGAGGAAAGCCTCTTGTTAGGATTAGAATGCTGAAAGCCGAGGCCGAGGCTTGAAAGCCGTTACCTGGAATCCAGTTGGTATAAGCGATCGATAGTTAGCAGCAGCACTCCATTGAGAAGAGATGAAATCCGAGTGAAGTCGTCCAACTGAAGACGCTGTGAGATAATCTGGAGCGCCTGGTTGGGGTTGCATTGCTGCCGCGATCCCTTAAATGTTTCGTTTTCATTTGTAGCCTTTATTTGTAGCCTTTGTAGGCTTCAGAAAGTTGAAGAGTGATGTTTGAAGATTGGGACAAGCCAAGTTAGCCTAGATCAGCGCCAGCTAGGGTCTGGATTAAGCCTAGATTGATCTAGAGATCTAGTCAAGCTTCTAGATCTGCCTGACTTTAGTCTAGCTTCTAGATCTGTCTGGCTAGCTTCTAGATCTACCTGGCTAGCTTCTAGATCTGTCTGGCTAGCTTCTAGATCTACCTGGCTAGCTTCTAGATCTGCTGGCTAGCTTCTAGATCTACCTGGCTAGCTTCTAGATCTGACTAGCTCTAGTCTAGCTCCTAGATTACAAGTCTTGCGACTAGAGCACTGCCTTCTCAAGCTTGCCTCTTCCCAGAATCCCCAAAATACTGAAACCACATTGGCAACAGTAAAACAGTACTGAACTTTGAACACTGCTTACCTTGAAAATCAAACTTGTAGGCGTATCTTTTCCCGTGGACTTTGCACATAATATTCTTATCGTAGTAATATCTCAACGCTCGTGACATCTTATCGTAATTCATGTTCGGTTTCGACTTTCGTTCACCCCATTTCCTGGAAAGATTCCCTTTTAGTTTCCCCTTTTAGATCTTTGAAAAGCATATCGAATGCATAAGAATGCAAAGCGACAAACCTTGCCACCTCGTCCGGGTCGACCAACTTGAATTCTCCCTGTGAACCTTCCCAAGTGATTATCTCGGCGTTTCTAAAAGATTTTGAGATTTTAAAGGAAAGATTCGACAAAGCTGGATGTCACGCGATTTTTTGAAACAATTTTTGAAACAAACAAAAGGATCTCTCTAATTTCGCACCTCTGATCAGCTAGGAGTTCCATGAGAAATTGCCATAATTGTGTTTGACCGCTGCCTGAATGAGCCAATCGAGTGCACGTGGGTCCGAGGATTTGATAGGGATCTGGAAAGGGATTTATTGAGTTTAGAGAGGGAATTGATAAGTTTATTAAGCTTCTTCAGCTTCTTCAGCTTCTTCAGCTTCTTCAGCTTCTTCAGCTTCTTCAGCTTCTTCAGCTTCTTCAGCCCCGCTCCGCTTCTCAGCCAGCCTAGCTCTGCAGCTCTCGCTCTTCAGCCTCAGCCTTCAGCCTTCAGCTTCTTCAGCTTCTTCAGCTTCTTCAGCTTCTTCAGCTTCTTCAGCTTCTTCAGCTTCTTCAGCTTCTTCAGCTTCTTCAGCTTCTTCAGCTTCTTCAGCTTCTTCAGCTTCTTCAGCTTCTTCAGCTTCTTCAGCTTCTTAAGCTTCTTCAGCTTCTTCAGCTTCTTAAGCTTATTAAGTTTATTAAGCTTCTTAAGCTTAAGCTTATTAAGTTTGACAAAGGTTTAAGCAGTAAAATGGCTATTTTATTTAGTAAAAAGTTCATTTTTGATCTAGCTTTTCCTACAAAATTATTGCCAAAAATTGGGTCCAAAATCGGGTTTAAATCGGGTCCAAAATTGGGTCCAAATTGGGTCCAAAATCGAATCCAAAATCGGGTCCAAAATCGGGTCTAAATTGGATCCAACAAGGGTCTAAATTCGGTCCAAAATTCGGTCCAAAATTCGGTTCAAATTGTCTCCAAATTGTCTCCAAAAATCTCCAAAATCTCCAAATTATTCTCTAATTGGAATATTCATTGAAGCGTACAAGAAAAGCTGTCTTTTCACTCAAGATTTCTATAGAAAAAAGAAAAAGCTTTCTTTCGACAAATTGGCGCAGATTCTCCGGTCAACAATGACAGGTGTTTTTTCTTTTTTTTTTTTTTTTTTTTGGGAAAACCAACTAAGGACAAGAACAAGAACAAGAAAAAGAACAATGAGAACTCAATTTGCATTTAAGCCTTTCACATGGCTACTGTAGCTTTTTAGATAACCCCAAATTATTGGCTATTACTGTAGTAGTTCTATGGTTTTAATGGAAAATGGTTTTTCGATCATCTTACAATCTCAATCTTACACATCAACTGGAAAATCGAGTATCGAGAAAGGGAAAATATGACATCAATGAAATAAGAGTGTGCTATCCAGATAAGAAAAAGGCAAAGTTTCACAAAATTCTTGATAGCCAGAAAAAAGTTATTGAGCTGATAACGATTTGACGACAATGATAGCGATTGACGACGATTGGCAACGATTGGCAACGATTGGCAACGGCTAGCAACGATTGACAACGATTGGCAACGGCTAGCAACGATTGGCAACGGCTAGCAACGACTTGCAACGATTGACAACGACTAACAACGCCTAACAACGCCTAACAACAACTAACAACTTCCCATTCCTAGTCTAAATCCGAAACAGATTGGTAAAATGATCTAATAAACAAACTTTCTTAACTCAGAATTCTATTTTTCTCTTTTTATGTTTTCAATCTACATTTCTATCTAATTTCTGCTTTTTGTGATAATCGTTTGAGCTATTTTGTTGAGATTGCCTTTTTAGCTTTACCGGGAACCACATTTTGTTTATCGACAGTTGCATTTGACTACTTATTGAAGCACTAGTATTTATCAGAGTACAGTAAATCTTTCTCTTGTACTTTTTACCTTTCTAGTACGATAGCTGAACTCTTACAGTAATACAATACTTTATTCATGTACTGTAAAAGGCTAGTTGGCTAGCTTGTTGGCTAGCTTGTTGGCTAGCTAGTTGGCTAGCTTGTTGGCTAGCTTGTTGGCTAGTTAACTTGTTGACTGATGAGCTAAAGATTGCTAAGATCGTAAGCACAAAGTTGCACGCAGTTCACAGTTCTTTGTACTCTCTGTGACAGCCTAGATGTACTCTCTGTGATCAACTAGATGTACTCTCTGTGATCTAACAGATGTACTCTCTGTGATCTAACAGATGTACTCTCTGTGATAGCCTAGATGTACTCCTAGATCGTCAGACTCCAGGCTTTCTTCGATTCTCTTGCTTCTGACTTTACTGGCTCTGGGAAAGACTAAATTGGGAAAGAATGAAAGAATAAGATGCATTTCCCCTATCCACTCGACCCCTAACTACTCCAGTACATCGATTCGATGACATATCAAAGACCCAACAACATCTATCCACTAGCCACAAAGACCCCTCTCTCCTCTCCCCCCCAACCCCATTTACTCGCCTTACCCCAGCTCTACCCTCTTTCCCCGAAAAGCACGGCTATTATCTCTCTTATGCAAAAGATCCGTCAAAGAGCTCAATTCTTGGATAATAAGTGTGCCCAAATCGAGATAAAAGCCGAAGATTCCACTTATGACACTTATGACACCCTGAAAACAATGCATTAAGTGCAGCCTCTTTATCCAGCCGACACCAATTAATAGCTAGAGTACTGTAGCATAAGCAGTTCATCATTGTGTTCATCATTTGAGATGTGTTTCTGGACTTAAGGTCAACACAATGCTATGAATTGTAGAGATTTCGAAAGTACTGGGCTATTGTGGAGTTGATTTTTGAATTGCTTTTTAAAGGCTACAAAATTTCGACTCAATCAGCTCTTTAACTATTCTTAACACTACTCTAGACGACTCTAGACTACTCTAGACGACTCCTAGACCACTCTAGACTACTCTAGACCACCCTAGACTACTCTAGACCACTCTAGACTACTCTAGACGACCCTAGACCACCCTAGACCACTCTAGACCACTCTAGACTACTCTAGACCACCCTAGACCACTCTAGACCACTCTAGACCACTCTAGACTACTGTAGGACTTTTATAAAAGCGATAAATAACTGTCGTGAGGTCCAGATGCTAAGAAAAACTGAAAAAAAAAACTGAAATCCCCGGAAATCGGTGTCAAAATTGGCGCAAAACGATTCGTCTTTTTCTTCAATAAATTCCCCCAAAACGATTTGTTCTCGAAATGATCAGCTGGGCATAATTGCTCAAAAATATTGTCAGGTCAATTTTCGAGCTAAATAGACCCTCAATTCTTGAGGTTCTTGTATAGGGAACACCTGGCTTTTCTTAGAATTTTCCTAGCTTTTTTTAGCATTCTCTTAGCATTCTCTTAGCATTCTCTTAGCTTTCTTTAGCTTTCTTTAGCTTTCTCTTAGCTTTCTTTAGCCTTTTTTGGCTTTCTTTAGCTTTTTTTAAAACCAATAATCCCTTAAGACAGAAAATCTGTGAATGTTTTGTGAAATTTGGGTAGAAGACTTTGAATAGCATTGATTACTAGGATCGTAAGCGTAAACGTAAGTGATTCGTAGTCTCTATGAAAGCATAGATGTACTCTCGATAATATCATCGATGTATTCTCTGTGATAGCATAGATGTACTCTCTACGATGTCATAGATGGCCAGAGTCCAAGCTTTTTCCGCGTATCTTGCTTCTGACTGACTCTGGGAAAGACTTCATTGGGAAAGACTTCATTGAGAAAGAAGATGCATTTCCTCTATCAACTGCACCTCCAACGACTCCAGTACTGACTCTAGATCATGCTTAGACTTCAAAAAGTAATAACTTCAAAGTAATAACTTCAAAACAATAACTTCAAAATCATAACTTCAAAACAATAAATGAAACAGAAAGATTTGTGAGCACTGTTTGTTATCAAATGTTCCCTGTTCATTTGAAAACTGAAGAAAAGAAAAGCTGGCTCTAGCTGGCAACAATGGGGATCCAATCACTGAATATTCAAAGAACCGAAAAGCCTTTGATCTAACAAGCACTTAAAGCGGCTTAAAGGGTCACTTCATCGTGGGCCCTTCGTCTCAATTGCCCCATTGCCCCATTGCCCCATTGCCCCATTGCCTCCACCAATTAACACGCATTTCATGTTTCTTTTGCCTTTTCTTTGCTTTGCCCAGTGGCATTGCTCAATCAATCTCTGTGACTCACTAATCAACAATCGGCTGTCTCTTTGTAGAACAATTTTAGAGATCTTTTCAATTTCGACACTGGATTTAGCTTAAAAAACTTTGTACTCTGTACTCTGTACTCTGTACTTTGTACTCTGTACTCTGTACCTTGTACTCTGCACCTTGTACTCTGTACTCTTCACCTTAAAACGTACCCTTTCTACTGCTCGCGAATTGCTATTACTGCTTTTCATGACTAAAAAACGAAATTTTAAAAGCTCCCACTCAACCCCAGATTGCTTTACTGAAAAACAAGCGCTTAACCGATAGAGCAATCGATTACAAGTGCCTGTAAAAATCTCCTTCCTAATGCAATCAATCTTTTCTAGCTTTTATTAACACTTGAATCAATTTCCTTAAAAAAAATCCCTTTCCTAGCTTTCTTTCTCTTTCAAAAAAATCAATCCCGCAAAAGTTTTCGGTTTTTTTTAAGGCTGACAAAGCTGAGCTCAATTTCGCTTCTTTTCACTCTTCCTATTGTCCCGAAAAAGGGTTTAGGGTCAAAGAGAGGAAGAAGAAGAAGAAGAGGAAGAAGAAGAAGAGGAAGAAGAAGAAGAAGAGGAAGAAGAAGAAGAAGAAGAGGAAGAAGAGGAAGAAGAAGAGGAAGAAGAAGAAGGAAGAAGAGAAGAAGAAGAAGGGAGGGAAGAAGAAGAGGAAGAAGAGGAAGAAGAAGAGGAAGAAGAAGAAAAAGAAGAAGAAAAGACTACTGTATCCGGTGATTGTTAAGGAAAGAGGAAAGAGAATATGGGAAATGGGAAAAGGGGAAGAGGATAGATGGATGAAATAGGAAAGGAGAAGAGAAGGGTTTTTCTTTTGCATTATTATTTAGTTATTTTGAAGAGAATCGATCATTTTTTTGATGATTGTTAAGGAAAGAGGAAAGAGGATAGATGGATGAAATGGAAAAGGAGAAGGAGAAGCGTTTCTCTTTAGCATTATTCTTTAAAACTTATTTTGAAGAGGTTAAATCGATCGTTTTCCAGTGATTGTTAAAGAAAGAGGAAAGAGAATAGATGAATGAAATAAGAAAAAGGATTTACAAGAGAAGAGAGATTCTCTTTAGCATTATTATTTAGTTCTTTTGAAGAGAATCGATCATTTCGAATGGTAGGAATTGGTCATTTTAATGATTTTCATAATTTTATGTTCAAACGGGAATTCAAACGGGAATTTTTTTACGCCAATTGTATAGGCTTTTTCTAAAAAAACACTTTTCTAGTGATTTATCTCTTGTAAAGTGTTTAGATATAGCTATGATTATAAAGGGGAAATTGGTGGGAATTGTGATTGACAATAAACAATAATGTAAAATAGCAATAGAACTATAAAATTATAGATTGAAATGAATGGAATGATTGGAATGATTGAAATGTAGGAAAGAATGGAATGAATGGAATGATTGAAATGATTGGAATGATTGGAATGATTGAAATGAGGAAAGAATGGAATGAATGAAATGATTGGAATGATTGAAATGAATGGAATGATTGAAATGATTGGAATGAATGGAATGATTGAAATGTAGGAAAGAATGGAATGAATGAAATGAACGGAGTGATTGAAATGAATGGAATATGTAATAAATGCAATAAATGTAATAAATGTAATTCTTGAAGTTTCTGAACAAGAACTGAACAAAATCAATTTCTTTTTTCTCTATTTCGATTCGCAATCTACCACATTATCATCTTTCCTCTTTTGAGCTAAAGGATTTTACCGCCTGGGGTAAAGGGATCATCCCGTCGAAATCCTCAACACTTATGTAACCAAAAATCTGATTGTTTTCAGCTTAAGGCTTTGGGGGAAATGGGGTAAGAGATGAAGAAGAGAGATGAAGAAGAGAGATGAAGAAGAGGCTCAATTTCCCCGCAATACATTCATCAATTATATCCCGAAAAGCTGGCTAGATTTTAGAAGATGTTAAACAAAACAGGGATTCAATTCCTCTGCGCTAGATAGCTCACGTTTGCAAGCGCATCTTTTAGACAATATCTAGTTAACGAAACGTTTAAAGTAAACGAATTCGTAAACACTTGCTAGCTAGAAAATCGATGTGATAAAAGCAATTCAAAAAGTACAAGGATTGGCTAGATAGCTCTAGATAGCTTACGTTAGATGGATAGCTCTAGATAGCTCTAGATAGCTTACATTAGATAGATGCTCTGATGCTCTAGATAGCCGGCCTAGATGCCTAGAGCTCGTTGTTAGTGCCTAGATGCCAGTAGCTACGTTAGTGTGCTCTAGATCTACATTAGATAGATAGCTCTAGATAGCTTACGTTAGATAGATAGCTCTAGATAGCTCTAGATAGCTTACGTTAGATAGATAGCTCGCGTTTGCAAGTACATCAAATACAAGGATTAGATTCCTCTGCGCTAGATAGCTTGCGTTTGTAAGTACATAAAGTACAAGGATTAGATTCCCCTGCGCTAGATAGCTCACGTTTGCAAGTAAATCTTTTAGGCAATGAGATAGAAAAGCCTAAAACGAATTTGGCAAAGCGGCAAAGCATTACAAATTTTGTTGACTTTGTTTTTCATTTAGGTACTTTTAGAATTGAATAAATGTTCAATATAAAGATAAAACTGATAAGATAATCGACCTGGTTGAGAGAAAGTCGTTGGTGCGCACGGAGGGAAACGAAACGGTGCACAAGCCGCCGGGAAACAGCCCATAGTCGAGTTGAACGGGGAGAGTGACTGACAGATTTCGAGCATTAATTGATTGATTCGAAATTGTTGCGAATTTTAGAAATAATACTATAGATTAGCTTTTAATAATAGAGATTTAGTTATAAGAAAAATGCAATTAAAATTAGATTTCATGTAAATTGATAAACCAACCGGTTCCTCTTTTGCGACAACGGTAGCGGCTGCGCTTTGGAACGCTTGCATTGAGAGATTCATTCCTGGAAATCAGACATTTTTGAGAGATCTATAGGAGTCTATAGACTACAGGAGTCTATAGACTACAGTAGTCTATAGACTACAGGAGTCTATAGACTACAGTAATCTGTAGACCAATTGGTTCCTCTTTAGCGACAACGGTAGCGGCTACAGTAATCTGTAGACTACAGCAATCTATAGACCAACCGGTTCCTCTTTAGTGACAACGGTAGCGGCTACAGTAATCTGTAGACTACAGGAAACTATAGACTACAGCAATCTGTAGACTACAGTACTTTAAAATCTGATCTGACATAGATCTGATAACAAAAGATCCGAATCCTAGTTACATAGTAGTAAATAGAAGCTGCTCGGTACATGACAATATCAGGACTAAACTCAAGGCCAAACCAGACCTAAACCAAGGACGGCTCAGCTCTATAGTCAGTAAAGTCATTAGACCTTAGACTGAAGACCTAGATTACCTAGATTTTCGAGTAGATTTCTAGATGCTAGGTTGACTGTCTAGTCAGAGTGTTGTGCTATCTCTAAAGCTTGTCTATCTCTAAAGCTTGTCTATCTCTAAAGCTTGTCTATCTCTAAAGCTTGTCTATCTCTAAAGCTTGTCGATCTCTAAAGCTTGTCTATCTCTAAAGCTTGTCTATCTCTAAAGCTTGTCTATCTCTAAAAAGCAATCTTCAAAAGCTATCTTCAAAAGCAATCTTCCAAAGCTATCTTCCAAAGCTATCTTCCAAAGCTTTCCCTATGCCTAACATAGCCTATCACATCTCCAATTTTCACGAAAAAGATGAGTAATATCGAGACTTCAAAAGAATTGCGGGAAATTGCGGGAAATTCCCCTCAAAAACCTTTAATGTCAATAATTGTTTCCAGCGTTGATGCTCGCCACTGGTTTCCGGTCTAATTTCCGTTTTAAAAGACAAGAGAAAGATTACGGTATTCGGTTGATGACACCCGGTAATTATCGGATTTGAGGATCGAATAGAATGACGATTTTATTGTTTAAACAAGTCATACAAGAAAGTAATAATAAAGTAATAATAAAGTAATGATAAAGTAATAATAAGGTAATAATAAAGTAAATAAAGTAATAAAGATCGTTGTTTTAAAAACATTTCATTTAATTATTGTAATCTTATCTCTTTTTTATCAAAAAATTCTTCTCATTCTGATTTTCTCTATTTTAAAATTCTTTGTTTTCTGTTTTCTTGTTGACTTTAGAGAATGACACTATGCGGGACACGATTCTAGCAACAAAGTGTTACAATTTGTTTTCATTTGATCAATGCCGATTGAATGGTGGGGGAAAGGAAGCACCCCTGCTGAGTGAGCGAAAGAAAAAACCGAAAGAATGACACGACACCATTTCACTTAGATCTTTATCAACACTGACTTTCATCCTACTGTTGACTGAATTCCTTTGGATGTAAAATGAATGGGTTTTGAAAGAAAGATCAAAAGAAGACCAAGCCAAGAAACAGAACCAGGACTAGAGCAGATCAAGACCAAGCCGAGAAACAGGATCGGGACTAGATTAGATCAAGACCAAGCCAGGAAACAGGATCGGGACCAAATTAGATCAGAATCAGGCCAAGAAACAAAACCAGAACCAGAACAGATCAAGACCAAGCCAATAAACAGGACCAGGACCAAATCAGATCAGAACCAAGCCAAGAAACAAAACCAGGACCAGCTCAGATCAGAACCAAGCCAAGAAACAAAACCAGGACCAAATCAGATCAAAACCAAGCCAAGAAACAAAACCAGAACTAGCTCAGGTCCGAACCAAGCCAATCAACAGGACCAGGACCAAATCAGTTAAGAACCAAGCCAATCAACAGAACCAGAACCAAGCCAATAAACAGCTAACAACGGCTAGGTTACTGTGTCAAATTTTCCCGTTTCAAATAAGCGTATAGAGAAGTTTGGGTGAAAAAAAAAGAAATAACGCTGTGAAATCTCGGAATGGAGGAGTTGTTAACGTTTCCTTTCTCGAATGAGGATTCGCTTCTTTTCTTTTTTTTTTCTCTATTCATCGAATCAAAAAGTGCCGAGAAAATTGAGAGAAGAAACCTCTTTTTTTTTCTGTTTTTCTTTTAGAATTGCGAGAATTGCGTTACTTTTTTCTTTTTCCTCTCAAAAATCACCCATCCATTCCGGAGATTCACGGGAAATCGGGGGTAAATCGGCGGTTTTTCTTTTTGAAATCTCAAATCTAAGATCCGGCATTGAATTTGGGATGTTCGATTGGGGAAAGTGAAGGTTTATGATTGAGTTATGAGGGTGTTTATAAGATTTATAATAGTTATAATGACTTAGAATGACTTAGAATGGCTTAGAATGACTTAGAATGGCTTAGAATGACTTAGAATGACTTAGAATGATATTTATAATGACTTTTATTGTTCTTTCTAATAAAGCTTTCTAATATTCTTTCTAATATTCTTTCTAGTGCATTCAATTCTTTAGAAAACCCTTAACTTTACTGCACATGTTCTCTTTTAATCGCTTTGAACAAAATTCTATCCAATCATAGAGTTAATGCATTACAGAGTACATGACTATACTCTGTACGTAATGATGGGAAGCTTTTTTTTTGATCTGGCAATGAAATAAGACAATGATTGGCTTGATTGGCTTGAATGATTGGCTTGAAATCAAGAGCTAATTCTGAACCAAGAACAAATCAAGAGCTGATTCTGAGCCTGAAGAGTGTAGAGCTTCTCTGGCTTCTTCTCGAGAGTTCTCTTCTCTGATTAAGGAATGGACTCGCTGGAAACGGTTCAGTTGAGGATAGCAATGAAGAAAGCGATTAAGAAAGCGATGAAGATAGCGTCACAGTTTCTGTGACACTCGTGCGCTTGGCTGGGTTCTTGAACAACCGAGGGAATCGATTTGAATCACGTACTGAACCGTACCAATATCCGCAGCACGCTGTCCATCGCATCATTCTATCAACTAGAGGCTGTTCACCGCATTATTCTATCAACTAGAGGCTGTTCATCGCATCATTCTATCAACTAGAGGCTGTTCATCGCATCATTCTATCAACTAGAGGCTGTTCATCAAGGTCTCCAGCCTCTAGTCGATAGAATAATGTAGATAAAAGACGTCGGTAAATTAGATCCGTAACTTTTTCAACTATTGAAAGCTTTTTTTCATCTAACAATGAAACAATACAATGATTTAGGCTTTATTTACAAAACAAGAGCTAATCCAGAGACTGACGAGTGTACAGGGGTTAAAATTCGATTCAGCACAACACTGAGAAATCATTTTTTCACTATTCTAGTCGATTATTTATACCATATCCTTTTTCCCCAAAATTTCTTAATAGTTCGCCGTTTTTGATTGAGATTTCGGGCGTCAAAGTCGGAAAGGCGGCTCTTCCTGTTGGAGAAAGGATGAAATTGAGACCCCGATGCCTGCTGGGGGGGGATCGAGCTTTATAGCTGGAGCTGGGGGGATCTATGGCTGGGGATCTAAGGCTGGAGACTAAGTGCCTTCTTTCCCCTTTCCCCCGCAAATAACAAGACATTTTACCCTTTCTCCAATCTTTTAGCGAAAAGAAATCGGAGCCAGAGGATTTCTTGAAGGGATTTCTTGATCTTCGCATCCATGTCAACAATGAAATCTGTTGGGATTTTGGGAATTTCTTTGATTTCTATTTCTCTTTGATTTCTATGATTTCTTTGATTTCTATTTCTATTTCATTTCTATTTCATTTCTCTCTCTATTTCCATTTCTATTTCCATTTCTCGTTACCAGCAAGATTGGACAGTACTGGATACCAGCAATGAAAAAGCTATGCTAACTTTAATTGATAGAATCCCTGGAGAAGAAAGGATTAAAATTATAATCTATTTTTAAGTTATAGATCTCACTGTATGCTTTGTATCACTCTGATATCAGAGTAGATCTTTATAGGCTATCGTGTCTGCTCGACAATAGCTATAGATCTAGACTACTAGAAATCTAGACTATCTAGACTATCTAGACTATCTAGACTACTAGAAAGTCTCTTATCTATTCTTAGAAAGCTTTGGAACTTATTAAAGCTTATTAAAGTATCATTTAAAGACTGTAGAGTTACAGTAAGATGAATAGATAAAGATTTTTCTTCGATTTCGATTTAAAGAAGTTTGTTTATTGATATGAAATCGAGATTAACTTGGTTGAGACTTTAGAATATGGTAGAGTACTGGATATTGGATTGGACAGTACTGGATATTGGATTGGACAGTACTGGATATTGGATTGGACAGTACTGGACTGAACAGTATTGAGCTGGACAGTACTGGATAGAGATCGAAAGTCTAAACGAACCGTAATGAATGGGCTGTGGAGAGTCATGCTTTTGTGGGAGAAGTGGTTCGAAGTCAGTGCTTCGTGACGTTGGACCGACCTGAAAATTCGATTAGCTTGTGCTTGCAAAAAAAGGTTTAAATTGTACTTTTTGCTTTGACAAAAGTGCATTTTCTGCTACTTTTTATCGATTGTTTTGACTTTTAGAAGAAAGGAAGGAAAAGAAGTGCTAGAGGTAGATAGAAACTCGAGATTCGTTGCGCTAGAGAGCTCGAGTTTGTAAGTGGATAAAGTACAAGGATTAGAATCGGCTGTGCGCTAGAGAGCTCGCGTTTGCAAGTACATCTTTTAGGCAAAGAAAGTCTTTTAGGCAAAAGTTGGTTGATGAGATAGAAAAACGAATTGGGCAAAGAAAAGAGGAAGAAGCGAGGAAGAAACGACTGAATGATCGGCTTGCTTTTATGGGGAGGAAAAAAGACGATTTGTGGATGAATTATGCAAGGGATTTGGTTGAGTCTTTTAGGCTAAAGAACAAGAAAAAAAGAGAGCCGAGAATCAGGCAAAAAGAAAGAAAGAAAGAAGACAAAAAGTGATTCTGTGTTCGTCTTTTTCTCTACTCTTGATGACAGCTGTTAAATGGAATCCAATGTTTTTATTTGACGATTTTTTTTGTTTTACTTAACATGCGATTTGCGATATTTTTCAGGGTATAATCGCGTAGTCGTTAACTCCTTTACGTTAACTCCTTTTAAAATCTAGACACTTTGAGTCAGGAAGTTAGTCTTACTGTTAGTCTTACTGTTAGTCTTACTGTTAGTCTTACTGTTAGTCTTACTGTAAGCCTAGCCTAGTTCTTGGTTTTTAGACTAGCTAGAGTCAAAATTTATTAGTCTTAGTCAAGCTATTCAGTAAACCCATCGTATTAGTTTAAAGCTATCTTTTTGTGAAAAGAGAAAAGCGCTCTTTGGAAGAGTATAAAGTACATGACTTGAGTTTGGTGTGCCAAAGCACATAGTAAGCCTGGTTAGGCACATAGTAAGCCCTAGAGTCAGCTAAAGCACATCACAAGCCACATAGTAAGCCCTAGAGTGAGCCTAAGGACCTAGTAAACCTGGTTAAGCACGTAGTAAGCCCTAGAGTAAGCTAAAGCACATCGCAAGCCACATAGTAAGCCCTAGAGTAAGCTAAAGCACATAGTAAACCTGGTCAAGCACATAGTCAGGCTCATAGTAAGCCAAACCACATCGTAAACCTGGTTAAGCACATAGTTAGCCACTTAGTAAGCTACCTAGTAAGCCAAAGCACATAGTAATCCTGGTGATGCACGTAGTAAGCCCTAGAGTAAGTCAAAGCACATCTAGAGTAAGCCAAAGCAGTGGCTTACCACTTAGTGCCCTGCACTTGTCTTGATTTGTTTGAAAAATCTTTGACTTTAATAAATAGGTAAATTGATCGAAAAAAAAGAAACCCACCATAAAACCGCCAAACGTATTCTGGAGTTGCTGATTGGCGACAAGCAAAGCAGCCTCATCACAGCCACTTAACGGTGACAAACCATCGTATTTCTGGAAACAACGAATTCTTTTGGTAATTGATTTTAAAAGATTCAACTCAACAAGAGACTTTGATTATAGAGAAAGCTTAGAGAAAGCTGAATTTTTAACTTTATTAGCTAAATTTCATGGTTTTATTAGCTGAATTTCATGGTTTTTCAAAAGTTAAAAGTCAAAAATCAAAATCTATGGAAACATCAAGAGATTTGGATTGAATTTGGATTGGATTTGGATTGGATTTGGATTGAATTTAGATACAAAATTGAAGAAAACTAAAGCAAATAGCAAAACAAAGCAACTAAAGCAAACTAAAGCAACCTTGTCGTGATGCTTTGGTGAGTGCATATCTCTGGTAGAGAAAGAGAGAATCGAAAATAGTGTGAGGAGAGTCAGGTCGTGCTCCTTTCCTTCCTTCGCTTCCTTCCTTCCTTCCTTCCTTCCGTTGGGTTGTGTGCGGTGGGATAGTTGAAGCAAGGGGATTGTGAGGGACAAAAGACGGAAGACCCACGTTTCCTCCGCTTCCACTCTCCGGGGGAAAGGGGCGGGGCTTCATAGAGCTAAAGCAAAGACAGAGACGAACGGTGGGTGGAGTTTTATCGGTTTCTTCTAGATCTTGATCCTTTTTAGGCTGTCAGAACTTTACAAGCAGTTAATTTGTTTGGAATAGATCTAGTAGGATGGTGGATGAAGGTACGAATAGAGGATTGGGTTTTATCTAAATCTTGACCCTGATCTACTTAGGTCAAACTAAAGCTAAGAGATAGCTAAGGGCTAGCTAAGGGCTAGCTAAGAGCTAGCTAAGGGCTAGCTAAGGGCTAGCTAAGGGCTAGCTAAGGGCTAGCTAAGGGCTAGCTAAGAGCTAAGTTAAGAACTAAGCTAACAGCTAAGTCAAGAGCTAAGCTAACAGCTAACTAACAGCTAACTAACAGCTAGCTAACAGCTATCTAACAGCTAAACTAAGAGCTAAGCTAAGAACTAAGCTAATAATTCAGCTAACAGCTAAACTAAAGCTTTAAGAGCCTTACAAAGTAATGGTATAAACACTTTTTTTAAAAAAAAGCTTTAAAAATCAGTCTTTCAATGTATTCTGGCCCTGGAGTTTAGCACAAAAAACAAAAACGATTTTACTTTTCAACCCCACTAACTGCCTAGATAAAGGATTATTTTACTTAAAATACTCTCAAAATTTCCCTCAAATATTTCGTGATTTAATGCCGAACTCTTTGGTGGTGAAATCGTTGAAATTATCGTTGAAAGAGGGCGGGGCTTTCCTTTCCTTCCCCTCGAAAACAATGCTTTCCTTTACCCAATCCCCGCACACGATACAATGATCAGTGAATTCTTGGAAAAAAACTCGCCAAAAAGGCTTGTTAAAAAAAGATTTACTTCTACTTCTAGACAATACTTCTACTTCTAGACAATACTTCTACTGTCTAGACAACACTTCTACTGTTTGATCGACTTCTAGATAACACTTCTACTGTTTGATCGACTTCTAGACAACACTTCTACTGTTTGATCGACTTCTAGACAACACTTCTACTGTTTGATCGACTTCTAGACAACACTTCTACTGTTTGATCGACTTCTAGACGACTTCTCGTCTTACAAATGGCATCATTGAATCCTTCATGAAATTCTGCCTTATAAATGTGCCATTTAAATATGCCTTATAAATGTGCCAAACAGAAAATACTTCTACTAATGAAAATTTCAGTAATAAAAATGAGAAAGTTTATTTGTTTTTAGCCAAAAAATGATGTTTAGCCAAATTCTTCTCAAAAACAACCACTAAATTTCAATATATCGATATATTGAAATTTAGTGGTTGTTTTTGAGAAGAATTTCTTTTTTTTTGACTTTCTTGAATTGAATGAAAAACAAACGGAATCAATTCGAGCTCTAAAAATTGATTTAATTTGCATAGAAAGTTTTTAAAGTGTAAAGTTAATTCGAATAAACGCTTAGCTAGCTCTTACAGCTATCACACTACTCCAGTACTTAATTTAAATACCTCTAGAAAGCTTCTTTCATTGACCAACAAATCTTGTTAAAATCCATTATGTCTAGTTAAAAAAAAAAAAAAAAAAATACCGACTGGGGCTACCAGTGGTGAATTTATCGCATACACGAAATATATCAATCACAATACAACGACACACACAACACTAGGCTATATCTTAACTTAACCCACGTCATGACAGACGGCTCCCTAACCCTAAGCTCAATGGGGAACTAAATAGCTTTTTTGGTGGTGAAGGGAAGATGACGATGACGATGAAGGAAGATGTCTAGTTACCGTCACTTTTTCTAGAAAAGTCAAAAGTTAGTTTAAAACAAGATTATTAAAGCCAATATAGAGAAAATGTTTTAATAATAGATTCTAAAAGCTTAATTAATGTGTTTAATCACTCATCTATAGTCATTCACAATGGTTACTGTGATAGTCAACGGTAACTATTGGGTTGGGGACTATGACTCGGCGCCAAACTTTAAAGGGACTTTTTGCACACATAAAGCCTTCTTTAAATATACGTTTGGTTTCATCAAAAGGATCCACTATTTCTCTACAAAATCACTTTTGAGAGATTCCACAAAGCTTTTCTTTCGTCGAGTTTATGGACTTCCAAACGCAGCTGGTTAAAATGGCAAAGAGCCCGACTCATCATTTGAACAGTTTCTTTCACATAAACCTTCTTTGGTGTTTATATAAAAAAGATAGAGCACATTCAATTACTTAAGTTGCCAAATTTGCAGGAAGATCCCACCAATGGTTTTTTCTAGATCACAGTTTGTAGTTTTTGTGAAAAAATGGCTTTTTCTTGAGCGGAGGCGCTGTTTGAATTTTCTTTTAAATGTCGTTTTGTGGAGAATTAGTTAACCATTCTACTGATATCAAACGCATATTATTTGACGAAGTCGAATTGAAGTTTTAGACATTTTTTTGATTTTCGGCGCCGAGTCATAGTCCCCAACCCAATACATTGACAGCCACGGTAGTTACCGTTCCAGAAAAGTCAAAAGTTAGTTTAAACCAAGATTATTAAAGTCAATATGGAGAAAATGTTTTAATAATAGATTGTAAAAGCTTAATCAATGTTTAATCAATCTAGAAAGCTTTCTTTGACTCTTTGACCATCAAATCTTGTATAATCTATTGTGTTGATTGAAGAATCTAAAGAATGGAATGCTTGGCCCTTTCCCCTGAATGCTTTTGTCAAAAAAAAGTCCGTTTCGTGGTCTTTTGCAACTTTTTGCTTTTTATGTCTTTTGAAATTCTTTTAACGTATTTTTTTTAGTTTCACATGTACATTTAATCAGAATTTAAAGAACAATCGTAAAAATAACAATTTTAGCATCTCAGGAAAATGCTTGACATGATGTTGATGGTAATCAAGTTGGCAATGATGTCTATCTTGGCTTTATGTGAAGGCTAGCTTCATAAACATTTGCGTGCCTTGCCTTGTCTGCCTTGCCAACCTTGCCAAGCTTTACATTTGCTCATGCCATCATTTGATCATTCAGGGAAAGAGCCGAATGCTATAACAGAAAGATCTAAAGTGAAAATCTAACATTGTTAATATCTAGAATGTTATCCAGAATCCGGATTTGACTAGTTCGAGCAGGTTTTTAAGTCAGGCGCAGCTCAGGAAAGATCTAGCCTCTAGATCTAGCCTCTAGATCTAGCCTCTAGATCTAGCCTCTAGATCTAGCCTCTAGATCTAGCCTCTAGATCTAGCCTCTAGATCTAGCCTCTAGATCTACCTGGTAATGGATATCTCCGTAGATCTGAATAGACTAAAACCTATCTTTTACTGCTGCCTTAACTCAAAAGCTAATCGTAAAACGAAGCCTTTGCCTTTCTTCTCTTGTTCATAGATTTTGAAAGCTGAGTATTGCTTTATCCAGTGGTTTATATTCGAAACTTGAACTTGAACTTGAAAAAGAACTTGAAAAAGAAACAGATAAGGGAAAGGATTGACACACTCGATTTCGACGCGCAAAAAGGATTTACATGATTAGGCGAGTGTTGTGCAAATCAAGGGAAAGACACAGCCACGTTCACTTTGATGAACTCTTTTCAATTGTAGATGAGGAGCACTCTTTGTCACATCAACAACAAGGGGATTTGATTAGGGAGAAGTGGGGGGTAACGAGGAGAAAAGAGAGGGGGGAAAGGGTAGGGAGGACATGCCAAAAGTGCCGGTTGGCAATTGATTTCCCAATCTCGACTCGAATCTCATTTGTGGTCACACTCGGCACCCGGTGATAGAGTTGTGGACAAGGGTCGGCAGCTCGATCACCAATGTTCTCACTGGACTCTGGACGAGTCCAGCAATGACACCTAGCCAATGACACCTAGCCAATGACACCTAGCCAATGAACCTAGCCAATGACCCTAGCCAATGACACCTAGCCAATGACACCTAGCCAATGACATCCAGACCAGAGCCTGGACTGGATTCTATTCTTTTTGGCCTCCAGAAACGAGATTCAGGATTACGGTATTTGGGAGAGCATCTTTTAGAAAACGCTCGTCAAATAACAAAGATAACAATCTACCGTAAATACTGTACCCCACCGCCCATAATGACGGTGCGGAGTGTTGTGTCGTCTAGCTTTCAACGCGCTTTTCTCGACACTGGTTTATGCTACAATGTGCGCTTAGGTATCAAAAAAAAAATTGACTAATTGATTTCCTGACATATTAGCTAATTTCCACAGATGTTCGATTCGCTATCTTCCCACAAAAGCAAACAATCTTCAAGAAACAATCAAAATTCAATCAAAACTCAATCAACACTCAATCAACATCCAACATCAACACTAAAATGAAAGCTTACGGCTAATCTATCGCTCATCAAGTCGATTTTATCATCAGTAACAACAGAGATACGATTTTGAGAATTAATCAAAGCCTTTTTATGCTCTAAAGCTAAAGCCACTACCGTAATTACTGTAATAGTACCCGCACGTCCATAATGACGGTGCGGAGTGGTTGCGTCGTCTAGCTTTGAACGAGTTTTTCTTGACACTGGTTTATGCTACAATGATATCAAAAATATCAAAAAATAGCCCTGAAATTCAGCTATTTTTTTGATACCAAAGACGCATTTTTTGAAAGTACGGGTGCTTTGCAAAAAATGAAATACTAAAAAACTTTTGCGACTACGCGACTGTACGAGGGCGGTGGGGTACTATTACAGTATTTACGGTATCTTTTCGCTGGACCTGAACCTCTAAGCCTTTACTTTAGCTAGTAAAAGATGAAACGCACAATCAACTCTACAACTTGATGTTGTAGATGTCAGATGATTGGATTGATAGAGTGAATGGGTAAAGGTCAAGGTCAAGGTCCAGCTAATGAAAGTTCTGGCAAAAGTATAGACTGTTGAGCTTATCCAAGGCCTACAACAATCAAACCAAGAACTAGCTTTTGGTCCGACCTCTACCGGAGGAATTATCTTCACAACTCTGATAGTTTCGGAGTTCCAGAGCTACAAGATGGTTCATTTACCCACAAAACAACACTGAAAATGTTCAAAATGGATTGATAAATTTGAAAAAACTAGTCGTCGTTCTTACTTTCATTACCATAATTCAGCGATTGCTTTAGAAGCTTTGAAGTTTCACAGAAAGCATAAACTTTATACAATATGTCACCAGAGATACTCGGAAAAATAGCACTGTAAGTTGGGAAATTTTTTTTTTTAAAATCTCTCTTCGCACTTAGGTATTCCTTTGCTGTGCTCCTTTGCTGTGTTCCTTTGCGCAGATCACAAGCTGCTTCCACATTTCTCTATCTCTTGCTATTGTCATCCAGTGTTTCCTATCTTGGTTGTTCCTGGTGCGGAGTCTTCGACTTGCTTGCGCTGGTGGTGGTTGCACTCTAGCCATCCTTTCTCTGACCATCGCTGCCACTCTTGTGCCCCACCTCGTTGCTGGTCTTCCGATGAGTCTCTTCTGGTCTCGTGGTAGCCACTCTGTGATCCGTGTCGTCCATCTGTCGTCTGTTCTTCTGGCCACGTGGCCGGTCGATCTGAGTCCTCTCGATCACTTCCACTGGATCTCTGAGTCCCAAGAGCTGGCGCATATCCGTATCTCTTAGGAGTTGGGAAATTAACAATTCTATTGTTCTAACAACAATTCTAACAATTCTATTCTAATTCTGAAAGTTTCTCGGAAATTTTCAAACGAATGACTCGAATTGGATTGGATTTTTTTGAAAAATATCAAAATTTTTCATTTGAAAGTTTTAAAATGAGTTGAAAAATGGGAAAATTCATATTTTTAAGCCTTTTCCAATCAAATTTTCACTGAATTTTGTATGCAAATTTGTCTTTTCCTCAGCGACGAATCTTGCTCGCCGATTACCTAGTCTTTTACTCAGTAATTTATGTGCAAATTTCAATTTATTCATCGATTTTTGTTTGTATAGGTTATTCGATTTTTGAAAGTAAAATTTCAAATTTCAATTTCACAATTTCCCTCTTCGCCTACCCCTTTTCCTCTACTCGTCATTTGTACTCTTTTGTTCGTTAGGCCTTTGCAATACCCCGAATGTAACCGATTACAAAGATTATAGATCAGCTTCATTTCTAGCTTCATTTCTATGTTTTGTATACAAAGTTTATATTTAATTTTATTCCAATTTTAGCGTGTTCAACCGCGACGAAAATGGAGCAAAAGCGACGAATCTTGCTCGCCGATTACCCGTTGTTACCGTTGGATGAAGAAGTCGTAGAAAAGCTACACGGTGATGCGCTCGATTGGGCCCATGTAAGTGATTTTAAGAGGCTGTATTTTCTCTAATAGTAGTGCATTCCGATCGTCGTCTAAATTACTCGAAATCTCAAGAACCACTTATCCGAACCTATCGATGTGGGGTCGGAAAATGTAGCTGACGATGAGATCTAGTGGGGGATTTGAGTGTTGAGCTTTTGTGAAAGCTTGGAAACTGTAAAATAGTGATCAACTCGGCTCGCCGGGGTATATCAGAGAGATTGAATACGGTAAATTACACCAATTTTTATGCAATTCAAATGCTTGATTTAGTCAGATTTTGATCGACTAACATTATAAAAGTTACAAAAAAGAATTTTGACTTTGCAAATGCAATTCGTAACACAATAAGTTGATGATTGATGATACGTTGATGATGTTATTTTGAAAGAAAAGTCATTTTCAAGTATTTCTTGATAGATGACGATGAGATCTAGTGGGGGATTTGAGTGTTGAGCTTTTGTGAAAACTTTGAAACCGTAAAATCGTCACCAACTCGGCTCGCCGGGGTGCACTACTATTAGAGAAAATACGGTATTTAAAGGCGAGAAAATGTATGAGACTTTTGAAAGTGCATAGATAGGAAATAAAAATGAAAAGAAAAGCTTTTATACTTGAAAATCGAGGGATTTCGATGTGTTTATCGAGATTTTTTGCATCAAAAACGTGCTGATGCAGATGATTGAATGAATAAAGCATGGGTTTACCTGTAAAAGAAATGCTAGAAAAAAAAACTGCATTAGTACATAAACCAGGACTAAAACTTAGTCATGTTTTTAAAAAAACGAAACGTTTCATCAGCTTTTTTTCAATTTAGCTGGTTATTTTTTTAAATATGGATAACTTAAGCTTAATGATATCTTTTGAGCTTAATGATAGCCTAAGCTTAATGATATCTTTTAGGCAAACGGACTTGTGATGCGCACGCGGGAGGCACGCGATCGAAGTGATGTGTGCATGACGGCTCCATTCGCTCTTCTACCCTCACCATTTCCCCGTGAACTCTTTCAGCATGCTGTTAAGGTACAAAATGTAAGTTAACTTTTAAATTTCATATTAAAAAGATTTAAGGCAAATGCATCTTTTATCGATGAAAAGATAAAAAAATAAAAAAAAGCGAAGAAATTTGACTCAAACTCGTATCACAATCATTTAAGTAGCTGATTTAGAATGTTTAGTAATTGGATAAGTTGCGCAATTTACTTGAATCAGCTAAAAGAAAGCTTTTTGCTTTAACTTTTATCAATGGATAGCATATTAATTGGTAAATCGATCTCATAATAGCTTTCTTTTTTACAGGATATCGCCCGTCTCTACCTTCAATTGGCGCACGAGAGGGATTTCCTGATGAAATGTCACGCGCAAGTCATCAAAACCGACGATTTCACGAGAAAAATGGTGGAAATCTATGAGAAAGTAATGGATGAGGGTTAGTTTTTTTTGGAATTTTGATAATCTAGCTAAACTTCTGTTTAAAGTCAAATCTTTAGGTCTTGTTCAACCGTTCACGCTTGCCATTCAGCGCTCCGATTACATGGCACACAAGGATTCGTTCGGCTCGGAGCTCTCATTGAAACAGGTAAAACGGTTTTCAAAGTATAAATTATGTAGCACAAAATTTGCAAGAATTCATTTCGTAAAGCTTTTAATAACGATCAACTTTGGAACTTAACTAACTTTTAAAGCTTTTAATAACGATCAACTTTGGAACTTAACTAACTTTTAAAGCTTTATGTGAGAGTTTACAAAAGCGTAGTTTTAGAAGAATTATTAATAAATTTGTCAATTTTATAAATCTATGTTTTTTTTTCAGATTGAGGTTAACAACATCGCGTCGAGCATGGGCGGACACGCGGAACGAGTCACCCGTTTGCATAGGTTAGTCTTTGCAAAAGTGATCTAGAATTGAAACGATGATTCTGCCAAGAAGCAACTAATATTTTTGTGTTCAGAAGACACCTTGCCGAGCTTGGATATCAACTAGATGAGATCTCGTCGGCTTGCCCGGATAATGAACCGATTTCGATGATTGGCGAGGCGTTACACAAAGCGTGGTTTGTGCATTTGTAAAGTTTAAGCTAAAAAAAAATTATAGATTCGGAATATTTATGCAAATTTATCCATAGATTAACTTGTGTAAAGTCTAGTTTAAAAGCAGCTTTAAATTCGTGTTTCTTTATTTGGAGCCGTTTAAGCTAAAAGAATTGTAAATTCGGGATATTTATGCAATAGATTAGGTGATCTTGTGAGATTGTGTGAAGTAAAATGTTTTAGCAGTAAAATTTTTCTTTTAGGACGATCTACGGAAAGAAAGACGCATGCATTTTGGTGGTCGTCGAGAATGTAAATCAAGTTGGTTTCTAGTGTTTGGGTTAAGTTAAGATTTGTAAAAGGAAAGATCATTATCTACATTTATCAATGCACATCTAATAAACTGACCTTTTTCTAGAATCAAATCGATCAACGCCTCGTCGAGTACGATTTGGAGAAACGGGGAATCGGATCAAGGCTCGTTCATCGGCAAACGCTCACACAATGTTATGAAAGGTTTGCATAAACATTATAGTCTATCAAATTTACTATCGTAATCAAATATTAGAAGCCTTAGAACTTCTAGTTATTTAGTTATTTTAACTTAGCCTTATAACTATCTAGCTATTTTTTTAGATTTTCGAAGTTAAGATGTATATAGTAATTAATTAAATTTCTTTAGTTTAACGCTGGACTCCGAGAAGCGACTCCTCTATAAGAATAACACCGAGGTTAAGAGTGTTTTTTTTTAAATCTATCTAATTTTAGGTAGCGGTCATCTATTTCCGATCCGGTTACTCGCCTGAACATTATCCGACCGATCGTGAATGGGACGCGCGTTTGATGATGGGTTGGTTGAGATGAATTTTAGTAATTTAAACTTCTTAGAACGATCACAAGCCATTCGAACGCCATGGATCGGATTGCAGCTGGCAAATACGAAGAAAGTGCAACAGGTGGGGTTTTAGACGCGGCGTAAATCTAGGTTTAAAAATTTTTTCTAGAAGTCAACGTAGCTTTGATAGATCCTTCTTAACATCCATTAATCTTTTCCAGGTTCTTGCCGAGGATGGAGTGGTCGAGCGTTTCAGTGCGTCGCCCCGAATCGCCGCCTCACTTCGGTCAACTTTCGCCGGTCTTTGGCCCCTCAACAGCAACGATCCGTCGATCAAGAAGATTGTAACGGTAAGGGATCTTTTTGGAAATGATAATCATTCATTGGAATACGTCAGTACACCTTTAGCTTTATCTATCTTTTTAGCTTGCTGAGAAGAATCCGCATTGTTTTGTGTTGAAGCCACAATTGGAGGGTGGCGCTGGGAATTATTACGGAGATGAAATTGCAGGTAAGGGTTTTTTTGAGAAACATTTGCTAAGATAACATAATCAAATAGACTTGGATAACAAATTCTACTTGACGCCAGATATAAGTTTATCCGAAAAACCAAGCTTACCACATACTGATCTCCTTTTTTTTCAGAAAAATTGAGGTCTTTGTCGATTGAGGAGAAAGATGCGCACATTTTGATGGAACGTTTGAGTCCGGATGTGGTTAAGGTTTGTTTTTATACTTTTATACTTTTTATACAACTCATAAGTACCGAGCAAAAGTCTTGCAACATCACTTCAAAAAAATCGATGAAATTTTATAGAAAATGCCACCCGTTGAGGGCTTTTAATTAGAATAATACAGTACACTTTATTACAAAAATAAATTCGAAGTTCAGCGTAAAACAAAAAGTAAATGACAAAACTACTAAAAATACCCTAAAACTGGGTGCAAAAGTCTTGCAACATTATACGAAACATCAAAATTAATATCAATCGGTCCCTTTGCCAAAATCACTTCATTAGTCGTTGGCATTGGTCGACTAATCGTGAAGAATTGCTGGGCGAATTAAGCTCCAAACTTTTCGTATAAGTCAACTTTTGTGTGAAAGTCTTTTCCTCGTAACTTTGTCTTCACGTAAGCCCATAAATTCTCAATAACGTTTAAATCAGGCGACATAGGGGGCACATTGACCAACAAAACATTATTAGGGCAAACCCTCCAGGGAGATCGGTTTCCTCCATTGAGACTCACCGTGGGACCCATCATGGGCTTGCTCTTGTGAACCGGCGAATTGTCCTGGTAGAGAAACCATCTAGGAGCCATGTAATCCTGAGCAAATGGAAGTATACAACCTCTAGTATTTCCATATACTGGCGAGCATTCATGGTTGACTGGATGGGACGAGTGGACCTGCCATTTTTGCCATCGTCCCTGAAGGCAAATTAATGCATGTATTAGAAATGAGGCTTACCAAAACACATGATTGATCCTCCGCCAGCTCGCATTGTAGGTCGCATATATTTAAGGAGTATTCGCTTTCCAATGGGTCGTCTGATCAAGTGGTTGCCTTTTGGAGAAAGATATCCACTTTTGTTTCATCGACAAAAATCACGTTGGCCCAATCCTGCTTTGTCCAACTTTGGTACGTCCTGGCGAATAGAAGCCGTTGTTCCTGTGGCCAGCGGTCATCAGGCTTTCGTACAGCCCTCCGGCTATACGTCCTCTTGAGTCAATCGTCGAGAAACGGTCCATCGAGAGATATCCTTGTTGCAACATCCTTGATCGCCGGCCCCTCAGTTGATGTCATGTCGGATCCTTCTTGGAGCCATCACAAGTATTCGATCCTCTTTCTGTTGTCTTCTTGGCCGTCCTTTCTTCTCTCTTCGATGCATAGTCCAGTTGTTTCGCTTTTGAAACAATGCGAGAAACGGTCGATGGATCGCATTTGAGATCGGAGACAACGGCTCGAGAATCCTTTTCTCTTGCTTTCATGGTTTCTCTTTCGAGAGTCGTCAATTAGGTACCTGGCATCTGAAAAAAACAAAAATTAGTGTAAATTAATAAATTTGAAAACAATAAAAATGAGAAACATAGAATGTTGCAAGACTTTGCACCCATTTTGGGTATTTTTAGTAGTTTTGTCATTTCTTTTTGTTTTACGCTGAACTCGAATTTATTTTTGTAAATAAGTGTACATGTATTATTCTATTAAAACAAAAGCCCTACGAACGGGTGGCATTTCATAAAAGTTCATCGATTTTTGAAAAGTGATGTTGCAAGACTTTCCGGATGGTTTTGAAAATTTACTCGATATAGTTAAATTCTTTAGAATTATCTCATCCGCGCTAATCAACCGGTACTTTTGGCCGATGTGGTGGGAGAGCTCGGGATTTATGGGTGAGAGATTTTGGTTTTTAAGAGGAATAAGCTTTTTTTCAGATAAAATTAGAAGTCTAAGTGGATATAGCTATTGATATTCTGCTAATTGTTACTATAATCTAAAATTTTTTTCTTTTACAGATATGCATACGGTGTACACGGCGATCGAGAGATCATTGCTCGAACTGGCGGCCATATTTTGAGGAGTAAGGGGAAAGATGTGAATGAGGTGAGGATTTCGGGATATTTAAAGGATAGTTTTTACCGTTAATTGTCCAGAACAGGGATGTTCCAATCGAGCCTGTGAGCCAGGTCACGCAAGGTCAGCCGGCAAAGCTTCTAATGGACACAGGGCTTTTGCGGGCCGGAAGTCAGACCTGATTCTGAAAAATTGATTTTAGAACAATAGTTTAAACAACTGAATAAATTTTAAGAATCAATTCCAACTCCTTTTTTTAGGGTGGCGTTGCGGTTGGGGCGGCTGTGATCGACTCTCCGTTTCTCTACGATCTCATCTCGAACGTTGATCGACCTCAATGAAACAATTCAACTGTATCAATTTTGTCATTTAAAATATTTTGTAAATTTTGCAATGTTTAAGTACAGCCTTTGCATTGATTTAGTGCTTTTACCCTGCACAATTGTGATTGTTTCCTTTCCTTTTCTCCTTTTCTTGTTTCCTGTTTCCTCTAAAACTGTGATCGATGTAGATGATGTGAAATATCTGGTGATAGGCAATAAATTTTCGTAAATGTAAAGTGCTTTTGGTCGATACTGCAACTCGAGACAAACAGATGCCATTCAACTTTGTGATGTTTTCATGACTTCTGTTTACGATTTTCGAACTCGAGGTACATTTTGAGTTTAAATAGCTCATTTTATAACAGTAACCACGATTTAAAGACCCTTAGTTATACTTTAGTTCAATTTACTACCATACTAGTGACGTTCTATTACTTAATTTAGCCAAAGTGATCATTTAACAGTTAGAGCAAAGAATCTATTCAACTTTAAAGAAGAAATTTATCCAGAAATTTATTAGCCCCAAATGATCTGATCCGATCCGAAAATCACCAACAGATTAATAGATCAACAGAACAAACCAACACGGATAGACTATCGATGCGAGACCTAGCCGCGCGGATAGGCTCTTCGATAGGCTCAGATAGGTCTGATCCGATCCGCGCGGATTTGCTGATGGTCCTGGTCTCTGGTGTTACTTTAATTAACGCATAATGTTTCATTTTTCAGGGAACAGCAAGCTACGTGAAGAAAATCTTTTTTAAATACGAGAAAAAACAAAAAACAAGAACGACGAAGAGCTTCTGAACTCATCCATTCGTTCAACTTCTCATCGCTGCCATTGTTCGCAACACAAACGCAAAAAGGATTCATTCTTTTGTCTTTCTTTTTCTTTCCTATCACGATGAAACCTATTCGGAAAGCGGGGAAAAAACAAAAAACATTATTACAATCTACATATTTCGAATCATTTCCCCAAGAAGCGATCATTTCTGTTGATCATGTTGAAAATATGTTTTTGTGTACATTCTACCGTACACTCAGCTTAGTGCATGCTAAAACGTGGACTTTTTACAAGATGCAAAAGGCTAAAATTTGGAAAATTTTCTCATTCTGGTTCAACGATTAGCAGAGTTTAGCTTATAGCCTACCTAAAACCTTACCTACCTAACTCACAACAAAATGTGCACAAAATAATATTTTGTTACTGGAGCGCAAAAGGCGCAATGAAATGAAGGCTTTTGCAGCCTTTTGCAGCGGAAGAACAAAAATCTCTTTTTTCTTTCATTCATTTCGAATGTTTAAAAAAAATTCAGAAAACTTTAGGTTTAATTTGTTTTAATTTGATTTATTTCATAGTAAACTCTATCATTTTACCAGTTTTTATTCTTAATAATATTATATTCATTTTACAAAAATGTAACGATTAGTTCGAAATCAAATTTTACCCAAAAAAAAAGTATACTTATTCGGCGTATTCATTTGAAAAGAATTACACGAAAATGAATCACATAATATGTTCACGGAGTTTTCTTTGAAAATTTCAATAGAATCGGGAAACTTTTATGTACAAAAGTGTTGATGAAGAAGTGCACCTTGAATGGAAAAGGGGGAATAAGATGAACCAAACAAAAATATACTCGTGTTGACATCGAGAAAATGGAGGGGTTAGGGGATAAATGAAGATTGAAGAAGAAGGAGAAGAAGGAGATGATGATGAAGAAGGAGAAGAAGATGAAGAAGAAGATGATGAAGAAGATGAAGAAGAAGAAGAAGAAGAAGAAGAAGAAGAATAAGATGATGATGAAGGAGAAGAAGAAGAGGGAGAAGAGGGAGGAGATGAAGAAGAAGAAGAAGAAGATGAAGATGAAGATGAAGAAGAAAAAGGAAGATGATGGAGAAGAAGAAGAAGATGCAGAAGAAGATGAAGGTGAAAATGGAGAAAATGATTTCTAGACATTAGTCCTAAACGTTCTTTAGGTTTACACCCGGTTTTCTCATCGATTTGATCAATTTGTATGCTTTTTTTGTTTGTCAATCGATATCGAATACTTTGTCGAATGAAATCAATGAAATGAATCAATGAAATTGTTAAAGTGAGATTTTTGGGGGGAAATCGTCTAGAATATGTCTAGAAATCGAAATCATAATGAAATACACGAAATGAAAAGAAAATGGCACTACCAAAGGGCTAATTCGGTTAATTCTTCGCGATTGAACGTTTGAAAATAGGAGGCAATCGAGCCGAAAAAGACGACATTCGCTAACCATACGAACACCACCGACATATCGGCTATCTGAAATTCGAAAGAGTATCGAAAGAATATCGAAAGAATATTCACTTTGAAATGTGATCTATAATGAAATGATCTATAATGAAATGATCTATAACGATATGATCAAAATTTTCATTGATTTATATCGTCATACCGATAGTGATTTATCTTTACGCTAGTGATTTATCTATATCGTTTGCCATCCTCTTGAATTACATACTCGGGGTATTGTTGTCAACGATACTCGGTATTGTTGTCAACGATACTCGGGGTATTGTTGTCAACGATACTCGGTATTGTTGTGGTGTGTAGTGGCTACTTTGAGCACCACATTTCTCTGCATTCGTTTAGGCAACAGAGCTCGTTTTTGATACTCGACGATCAACGATCAACGATACTCGATTTTTAATGGCTATCTTTTAATGGCTTTGACATCAAAACGAGCTCTATTACATAAACCAGTGCAGAGAAAAGAGCTGCTCAAAGTAGCCACTACGCGTCACAACAATACCCGTAATTCAAGAAGATGGCAAACGATGCTGTAAAGATGTTGTAAAGATGTTGTAAAGATAAATCACTAGCGGATGAATGGTTAAATAGGAGTCACTTAAAATGTGACGTAAGCCGACGTAAGTCGTAAGCCTTAAAATGTTTAGCGAAAAGAAAAGGGAATTGTTTGCATGCGGGGGGTTTGCTGTTAGAGTGTTTTCCTTTCGATTTTCCTTTCGATTAACGGGTTTTGCTAAAATGCACTAAAATGCAATATCGTAGTCAAATTGCCAATTTACATTCGATCAGCTCAATTTTTGCTATCATTTGATGAGGAATCACAAGCCTCATTCAATGATATAAAGATTGGATTGATCTGATGAAAACGGTTTAACTAACGGTTTGACTACTAGTACTTGCTCAACTAGAGTCTCAAATAGATGCATTTTAGAAAAGGCCTAAGTCGAGAGGAAAACACTCTAGTTTGTTGCCATGTGAATATGAAATAAAACACTGCAGCAAAAACCATGTGAGCATGAAATAAAACACCCCACTGTAGCTACTCAATAAATCTTTTGAAACTTTCGTCTACCGTATTTTCTCTAATAGGCATATACTAGCTTAGAATCATCTCTTGTTAGCTCAGAATGATCTCTTGCTATCAGAGCCTGAGCAAGGCTGGTCCTTAAGTTTATAGCCTTGAGACTATGGGTATAGACTATAGGTATAGCTGATGCTATGGGTATAGCTGATTCTATGGTCTGGCTAAGAATAGCTAACACAATATGGCTGTGCTCTTGAGTTTGGCTGGGTTCGGGATTGGCGTCTATTAGAGAAAATAGGGTATATGTTTTGTTTTTTGATCTGCATGTTCTATTCGATACTCATTTGTGTCAAGAGAAAGCTTTGAAAGAGATGCAAAAACGTGACGAAACACAGGGTTTTCTCTTGAAAAGAGTTTTATATTCTTTTCTTTTTTAAAAAGGCATCTAATTACCGTAATCCCTCGCTCAGTTTTCTTTCGATTTTCCCAATTTTTCGATGAAGGGAATCAAAAATCTCAGTGAATGATCGACAATGAAAATTGATTGGGAAGACAGTAGTTAGGTGCTTTTTTTAGAAAACGAAAAGGAACACACTTTAATAAAGACTGGGATCATTCAAAGTTTTCACAAGAATGATTGCAGCCTTCATTCTTCAGCCTTCATTCTTCCAGCCTTCATTCTTCAGCATTCATTCTCCAGCCTTCATTCTTTTTACCTTTAGAACATCGAAGCTCCCCAGCTGCCCGAATCGTCGTCCCGGTGCAGGTAGAAATATGCGCAAATCGTCCCAAATAGCACCACATTTGCCATGACGGTTAGAATGCACGAGCCAGCATGAATCTAGAGAGAATCGAGTCACAACAATTACAAATGCATACAGTGGGAGGAAAACTTTGCGACGAGACAACAATGTTGGTTAGCGGGATTGGGATTGTGAATTGAAAATTGAAAATTGAATGCCGACCATTTAAAGAGTCTTACTGGTTTTGCGTTGACCCGGTTTTTTCTTTCAATTGGGCATTTTGATGGACTAGTTTGGTTCAGGTAGAGTTGAACCGGATTCCAGGTTAGTGCCAGTTCCAGACCGACCAATAGACTAACCTGTCCTAAGATCGGGTTCCTCGAATCAGTTGTCCAAGCCAGGATCAAGTTAAACTCATCACTTATCCAATGACTCAGGGTTCTCTAGAGTCTCTAGATCTAGAGTCTCCAAGAATCAATTTCTAGCCCTGGATCCCAGGTCAGATCAGAATCGAATACCCAGGTCAGATCCTAGAACCAAATTCCCAGGCCTTACCCTAGGCCTGGGAATTTGCTTGACCCTGGTCTAGAACCGGAGTCAAGCCAATCTTTAGACTGGGTCCTATGTCCAATTCCAATGAACTAGACCAAAGGACCTAGAGTTCTAGGGTCCTGGCTTGAACCTTAACAATTTTGTAGAGCCTTATCGGTCATGACTGGAGACCTGACTTATGACTGGAGACCGGGTTAACGTGTGCTTTCTTTCAATTCACCTCCACCCTTACGACACACAAAAACATGCCTCGTTTTGTTAAACTTTGAGATCTTTTTGTTGAACTCACCACTTGGGCGTGCGCCAAGACGGTGGGCAGTGCGAATGCGGAGACAACAATTCCTGTCGTGATGAAGAGAGCCAACTCGATGCAAGCATTTGTGCCGGTCATATCCTGAAAACTCTTTGACAGCTATTGACAGCTATTGACAGCTATTGACCGCTACTCTATTACACTATTTACGATAGTCAGTCTTGTTATCGAGCTTTTCATTGAAAGAACTTGTGCATTAGTTTGTAACCGTTGCTTTTTAAGCAATTCGATAGCTCACCTCTTGATAGTGCTTTGCGATCATCAATGGCAATGGCGATAGAATGTAGAAAGTGATGCAGAAGAGTGGCCACCAACTACTGAAAATAGAAAAAAGCTTATCAGATCAAAGTAGTACCGAGAAACTTACCCGAAACTTGGCAACGCGCATCCCAAGACGAGCAGCGTCAACCCGACCACCCCGGCCAACGAAAGGAAAACAACTGCTGAAAAGAGGTGTTGACAGAAGAAAGAGATTTTCCGAGGCTTGATTTAGATTCTTGATCGATTTAGATTCTTTCTTTCCGAGGCTTAGGACTTGTAAACAAGTCAACACAAGGCCAGACCTATCAAGAGTCTTTTAGGTCAAAGCCAAATCAAAAACCTGATCAGGATCTAGCTTCAGCTCTACTTTGTCTTCTCCTACTTTTCGAATAACTTTGATTCGGAGATCTTGCATTTAAATAAACTTTCAAAAATCGACTTAAACCTATTCGAGATTCGATTTTCAGAACTCACTACGGTTTTCAGAATTCACTACGGTTTTCAGAACTCACTAAGCTTACTTAACCCACTAAGCTTACTTAACCCACTAAGCTTACTTAACCCACTAAGCTTACTTAACCCACTAAGCTTACTTAACTCACTAAGCTTACTTAACTCACTAGAATAGTTAAGTAAGCTTTGGATCCCTTAATAGCTTAAGATTTAACAAACAACGAGATTGAAGAGACTATAAAACTGGGTGCCGGGCAGGGATCCGAAGCTGACTATATTGTGCTTTGAAAAGGTTACTAGAGTCACAAAATGCTAGTGGAATTCAACCGTACAGCTCGTAAACGCTATAAGGGTCAAAAGTTGGTTGGGTATACCCATTTTTAACTTTAGCATTAATAGTTTCTTACCCCGAACTCCGGCCATTGCTTTGATTGATCGAGGAATCGATGGTGAAAATGAGAAGAGCTGAAAAAAAGGGAACTATATTCAAAGAAGAAACTTTGAGCAAAAGAAAGATGAATAAAATAATTGAAAATGGAAATGGTTGAGCTTCAGATTTGAGAATCGATGGTGAAAATGGTTATGAAATAATGGCTAATTCTTAGTCTAAGCACTATGAAAGATTGCTCGAAAAGAGTGAGCTTTATGTGCTTTATTTTGTACTTTAAAATGGCAATAATGGCTCTAAGCACTATGAAAGATTGCTCGAAAAGAGTGAGCTTTATGTGCTTTATTTTGTAAACATTTAAACTTTAGACAATAACAAAAGAAAGAAGGAAATAATTTGATTGAGAAGAATGAAGAATGAGAAGAATGACTCTATTCATAAAAACGAAAAACATCTGTTTAACTTTAAACTTTGTTCTTTGTTCCTTGTACTTTATACTTTATACTTTGTACTTTGCCAGTTGCAAATCGATAGAATCTAATTGTATCTAGAAAGCATTAGCTAAAATTAAAGCAGATTCTCAAGAATTCGCTAAATGAAAACAAAGTAATTGTCTTTGCCACTAGCCGTAGCATCAAACCAGTTACCGTAGTCGGCAATTGGCGGCTAATATTATCGCGCTGAGACTCCCCAGCACAGCATTATGGCGCAGCACATTTTGAAGCTCGTTTCTTTGCTAGATCTTTTATGTAGATTTTTCTCTAACTTTGGAGCGAGCACTCATTTTATAGTTTAAATTATAAATTGAATTTACAAGTTTATCAAATCTAAAGCTCACTTTTATCAATATTTCTTTGTTTCAGCTGTCTTTTATCAACATTTAATCCAATTTATTAACATTTTAGCTGTCTTTTATCAACATTTTATCCAATTTCTATAAGATATTTCAATTTCATTCTTTTCTAGGCGATGGAAGAGACGATTTTCAGCTTAGGCGACATGTCATTAGTTGAATCGACCTCTTCTCTCAATGATCCGCAAACGAATGGATTACATCAAAAGGTTAAGGTAAGTGGGGAAATGTTGGAAATTGATCGAGAGAAAAAGAGAAGATCTAGAGAAAGATCAAGAAAAGATCTAGAAGATCTAGAAAAACTAGAAGATCTAGAAGATCTAGAAGATCAAGAAGATCAAGAAGATCTAGAAGATCTAGAAAATCTAGAAGATCTAGAAGATCAAGAAATAGAAGATCTAGAAGATCAGAAGATCAAGAAAAAGATCTAGAAAAAGATGATTTGAAAAATTTAGGTCTACTACTATATGGATGAGAAGAAAACCCCGTACGTTGTCGAGATTGCCGACTCGTCTGGTGAAGTGACGCTAGGAGACTTTCTAAAAGTTTTCTCCTTTGCAACTCGAGGCTACAAATACTTTTGCAAAGCATTGGACAAGGATTTGGGATGGTATGTTCGGTTTTTTAAAGAAAATCTAAAGAAAATGATTCAGTGAGGTGAAAGTCGAGCTGCCCGATGAACACTCGAAATTGCAGACATCGGCCAACGGATTGTACGAGCTCTTTTTGCTCACTTTACAAGGTTGGCGATGAGTTTTGATCGTAACTATGGCGTTTGCCAAGTACGAAATGATATTATCGTTCATTTAAGAAATGACAAGCTGCTGTTAGCTTTCAAAATTGACTCACAAGTCCCTGCGCCAAGCAGAAGCCAGGCTTGAATCATTATCGTGCTTGGTTTACAAGCATTTACCTAATTGAAACAACTTTACAATATAATACATCATTTTTCTTTCAGCAAACGGCTCGGGAACATTGCCCAGACACTCTGGAACATTACCGCGTAAAGGAGTGACGAAAGATTACATGTCATTGGAGACACAAAGAGTACCGGTAAGAAAAAAATCTTTGTCCAAAACAAATAGTTTCAGTAGACATGGGCAATGCGTTATTCTATCTACACTTTAGCAAATAGTTCTTATTTTCTAAAGCATAGATCTTCATGAATTTAACATTTTAGAAAATAAAAAGTTGTTTGTTAAAACGCAGAAAGTAAATTGTTGCCGGGAGTGCGACAAATGCGACCTTTTTTTTGCGCACCCGGACATTTGCGCACCTTTTTTTCCGCACCTTGCCCATTAGCGCACCTTTTTTTCCCCACCTTGCCCATTAGCGCACCTTTTTTCGTGTTTTAAAAAAGCTCTAAAAAGCTAATATTAACCAATTTCTATTCCAAAAGTTGTTTTTGTATTTTTCTAGGTAATTTTAGGGCGTAGAATCGAAATTTTGACATATCAGAGCTTGTGGAAACAAACGGACGGAGTTATACAAAGAGAAAAATCGACAATTTGAAATTTCTGTAATTTGATCTAGCCGTTTTGTCTTTCAAATTGATTCCACAAGCTCTGATATGTCAAAATTTCGATTCTACGCCCTAAAATTACCTAGAAAAACAGCTTTTGGAATAGAAATTGGTTAATATTAGCTTTTTAGAGCTTTTTTTAAAACGCGAAAAAAGGTGCGCTAATGGGCTAAGTGCGGAAAAAAAGGTGCGCAAATGTCCGGGTGCGCAAAAAAAGGTCGCATTTGTCTCACTCCCAATCTTGGTGTTTCTCGGGTAGACTCATTTCCGCCTTTTTTATTTGCGCAACAAGATCATTTGCACAGTTCACTACAACTTTCTTCGAAATCCGTCAATCTTTATGATTTTGGTATCATTTTGTTGCACTTATGGAGATCTACAAAATGAAACTAAAATCATAAAGATTAACCCACTTAGAAGGAAGTTATGGCGAGTTGCGCAAATAAAATGACGGAAATTAGCCTACTCTTGTTTCTCCATTCGATTTTGAGATTTCCCACATCAAAAACCGTTTTATTGGTTTTGATCGGTCAATTGGATCAAAAGTTAGGCTAAAACTAAGAAATTGGCGTTGTTAGAGTTGAAGAAATTTATTAAAAATTGACTATGGAATGTGTTTCCTTCTTTTTTTAAACTTAAACCTTGTTCATTCTTGATTCTAGATGCGTCGCCGGCGATCTCTCGAAGCGATCAACTCGAATTTGGGCACTTCCGTCCCGTCGTTGAGCAGTCGAGGCACCGTTTTGAGCAGTGAGTTTTATTTTGAAAGGGTAAATGGTTGGGAAAGGCCACTTTTGTGGCTCTGTTGATTTTGCCATATTCGATTGCTCGTGTAGATATTTTTCTCAATTTCGTGGTAATGAAAATGTGGAATTGATTGGTAATAAGTTCAGCACTTTTTGGATTCACCTAATCGATGTTTTGTTTAGCTTCTTTGACTCCAACAAACGAAAGCAAGAAAGCTTATTAAAGTGGAAAAATAAGCAGAAGTGTAGACTTCCTGGAAATGCTCTAACTGTATTATTAATCAATTCGATACATTTATTGATCCGGGATTGAGAAAAATATCTATGCAAGCAATCAAACCTAGGCAATCAAACATTTATTCGTGAAAAATTGACTTAAAGCTATTTCCCCTTTGAAATCGAGTGAATATCATTTAATTTCTATGCAATTCCAAGGCTGTTCAGTTAAAGTTGAGGTGAATGAGGTTCGTTTGTTCATTTTTTAATTTCAGGACGAGCTGGCGAACATCTAGCCGAGTTGTATACATCAAACTCCGAGGATCCATATCAATACGATGAGAATTCGAGGTAATGCTTTGTTGAATGGCTATGTTGGATAAAGTCAACGATAATATATAATTTTAGAGAACGCTCGTCAATGTACGACACAGTGGTGAAGCCGGAGGAGCGACGAAAAAGGAAACCAAGAAAGGAAAGGTTTGTTGAGAAAGTTGGGTTGACAATTCCATTTCTTTGTTTAGATATCGGAAAGCCTATGTTCCGAGCACGATCAGCAGTATGACGGGAAGCAGGTATTGTTAGTGAAAGTGATTATTGATTTCTTTTTGTTTAGTAGAACTTCTTTGACACTACCGCAAATTCTGGAAGTACATCTGCCGCTGAATGAAAATCGATTCCTTGGGATTAGCGTAATCCCACTGAATGGAGGCATCATTGTGACGAATGTTATGAGAGGTGAGATTCGAAAGGAGTAGGATTTACTTAACTTAAAGGATGTTAAGTGCTATTGGCTTATTACCTTTCCACGAGACAATGATACTTATAGTTAGGGTATTTAGTGTGACAATATAATTGCGATACATTTGGGTGTCTTTCAAGTTTTACCATCTTGTGAAGCAGTATAAATAACGATTTCAAAAGATATTTAGCCAATAATAATGAGAAATTTAAGGAGTGCCTCTTTATTGTGTCATATCTGCTATCAACAGTCTTCTTTTAGATAGTGTCGTTGCGCAAGATGGTCGAATTGAGGCCGGTGATCAAATCGTTTCGGTGAATCAACAATCGTTGGAGCATCTCTCCGATCAGGAGGCGATCGCTTTGCTGAGAAAGGTGGCCGCTGATAAGAAGTACGTGAAATTTATGAGAAAACGAAATTAGGAGAAAATATCACTTGAAATTCTAGTGCAATCTTTTAATTTTTAGGCCATTGACTTTGTACATTGCCAAGATGAGCCCCAGCGACTCGTACACGGAAACGTTGACCACTTTGACGGCAGCCGATCAAACTATGCCATTGGGTAAGTGTTTTGCCCTGTCTCAAAGTCTATATTGTCACTTTAGATATACCGACTTGGGTGACGACTGCGGTGCAGTACACGGAAAGGTACAGGGAAGGATTGTTGCCAGATGAGACACAATCGGAAATCGATCGAACTTTCGGCGAGGGAACGCTCGATCCCGAAACCGATGATGAAGAGAGAAGATTGTGAGTCTTTGAGATATCTATGATATCTAATACTGCTTAATAACTAGTATTCTTTTTAATTCAGGTACTATGAGCGACGAAACGGTGCCCCGTTGCCTCGGTCATTGCAAGAAGAAGCGGAAAGACGAAGGGAAAATGAAAGAAATCGTGAGTTTCTAATACTAAAGATCGGGAGAGTTTTAATAATGTAAAAGCTTAATTTCAGAACAAATGCTTCCGTGTGTGCCAAAAGACGGTTTGATGCCCCGTTTATCAGTGACAATGGATCCGGCTGTGATCATTCGTGCGGCCGCTCGCACCGACTCCGGCTTGGTGGTGAAAAATCGTAAATGGTTGAAGATTTTGATGCCACAATCGTTTATTGGTGAGTTTTTAACAAGACAATTAATTTTTTCCAAATCCTTTCCAAATAATATTGCTCTTTTTAGGTAGCGATTTCGTTGATTGGCTCCTTGAGCACGTTGAAGATATCCGGGATCGGAAAGAGGCTAAAAAGTGAAAAAGTTTTATAGAGATCTTTTAATTTGTATGTTTTTAGATATGCAACTAGTCTCTTCGAAAGAAAATACATCAAACATATCATCAGCAAAATCAGCTTCACCGAGAAATGCTACTACGTGTTTGAAGGTGGGGATTTTCAAGTGTTTCTTCCAACTTTTTGAAATTCAGAAGCGTACTCGGGACGAGTTGGCTCGGATTGTGCGCCGAATACGAGCGGAGGGACCGCCAAAGAGGCGACCACTGAGGTAAAGTTATACTGTACTCTTAAGCCCATTAGATCTATTACTAGATTTGCAACGTTTTACAGGCTACTCTTTATATGATGCAGCTTTGTTATACGTATTAGATTGAGCTATTAAGCTTTATTCCCTTACGAAAATGAAATCGAATAATCTTTTTCTCACTTCAGGTCACCTACATCAGCAGCCCTGGCCTAAAGGGTAGACTGCAAGGAATGAGCGGCTTTCATCCGGGGAAATTCCACGTTCGTGGAATCGCCGACATGACACCGGGAATCGATATGACACAACAGACGTGGCCTTTCTCGCCGATCACCAACTACGATAATCGACCAATGAATGGGCGTTTGAGGGATTGCGAGAGTCCAAATGTAAGCAATTTTTGATTGTGCTTGTGAAGCACAAAGCTTGTATAGAGCTTGGCAAAACCTTCTTAACCTGGATCAGATTTGGCATAAGGTTTAATGGCTATTTTAGAAAATCTCTGGTCGATATTGAGCGCTAAGAATTTTTTAAAAACAAATTTTGCCGGTCAATTCCGAATTTTAGACAAACGACTACGCTTCGATGGTTGGCGAGAGTGTTTTCGTGGTCCCGCAGACGTCCAGAGGCACACTACCAACGAGGGTAACTTTTTAAGAAACTTTAGGAGATATATTTTGCCGTGTTACCTTGATGAGTTTAGGCTCATCCATCCGGTTCATCGCGTGTCCCTCCACCAGCCAACACACCGCATTGTGGCTCTTCTTTGCTCGCCCCGCCCCATCCATCGCCGGCTGAAACCGAATTCGAAGACGATGATCGGCGACGAATCTTGAACAGCTCATAAAACGGGGGACTTGTAGGACTTCACGAAAATTATTTTATTGTAGACTTTTATAATGCATTAACTAATGGCTTTAATAAATCAACTTTGGTACTCCGTCTTGGTCATTTATGTATTTTCTCTGCTCTAGTAACCCAGTTTATACGGTTTCCTTACCAATTGCCATCACGCGCCGTTTATTTGTTACATATTTGTTGCCCCAACTTTTTCCCCCCTTGCTGACACACGAGTATCCCAGTTTTTTTAAACTACCCAATTTCTCATCCAAGGTGCACACGTTGATTGTTCATTCAAGTTTTCTGCAGCGGTTTCTGTAAATAAATGATTTGATTGAGGGAATTTGTAAAAATGCACGATATAATTTCATTTTCACCCGGTAGCACAAATGGGGTCCTCAAATGGGATTTTATTCGTCAAGTTGTTCAAGGATACGTGAAAAGAGAAAACAAAGGGCATTTTGTAGATGAATTTGGGAGAAATGGGAAAAATTCTTGAAATTAAATATAATGAAATAAATACTCTAATAGAAGCGCATCCCAGAGGGGGGAGAGGGAAAAATTTGGAAGTAGAGTATTTACGTCATAGATTTACATTTATCGTAAAATCTAAATACCCAATTTGCATCTAAACAAAATCATATTTAAAGGAGTGAATCGCTCGTTTTCGCCATATTCTTATTTGGCTACTTTCAAGAGTCGTCAACCCTTCAAAATGGCTTCGCAAATCGACGAAAGGGGTACGGTTTTTGAAGTTTTTGACACTGTTCCAACTCTAATTTAACTTTTCTCCTTTTAAGCCATTTTCTCTTGTCGGTGCTGTGTTTGGCTGTGTTTTTCTATCGCTTTTGCCAAATTTTAAGCTCGCATTAGCTGAATTGCATTAAATATGGCTGATTTGAGCCGCAAATAGCGCGAATTCATTGCACTTTTGGTGAAAACATAACTGAATTGCACAGAAGCCAAGTAAAAAAAAAACCATAAAATTTGCAAAAACCAGCTTTATTTGCGCACATTTTGCTTCAACTTTTTTTGTTGTTGTTGTTGATTTTTTTTGTTGTTAAAATAGCGATTATAACGTGGTTTTACGTTTTTTTCTGGGTAAAAGAATGCGCTAAATTGATTGATGATACTTTTAGAAAGGGGTTTTTAGAATATTTGGAGTGTTTTTGTTGTTTTGTTCGAAATTTAAAAGTCACGCTGGTTACAACTGGCAGTTACAGCTGGCAGGCTAATGTAGCAAAAGTTTAGATGAAAATTTACTTGATCTACTTTCTAATGTTGATGTTTTAAAGTTTCCCTTTTTTAGATGCAGCAATCGAGTTCGATTCGGCCGCTGATTGCTCCATTTACTCGACGATCACGGCTGTGGATCTCTTGGAGTTGCAAGGTACGAACATTTACTGAGTCTTGTCAAATGAATATGTCAAATGAACTTGCCATGAACTTGCTGCAAAAGTTAAACGAGTAGTGAAAGTGAAACTTGAAGATCACAAAAAGTTTACCTGATTTGATAAGATTTGAGAGTTGATTTGGCGGTTTCTACCTCTAATTGCGATATTTTTGCTCCACTTTGTTTCCTCATTGATCTATGCAATTGCTGGATAATGCTTTAAGCGTTCAAATCAATAATTAAACTACGTAGTCAACTTTCCGTAAAAAAAAACTACGCGGCTTTAAACACTGGTGATGGAAAACAGTGGTGGAAAAAAGTATTGAGCCCCCGCCCCCAGACTGTTTTTAATTACAATGGGGGCCTAATACTTTTTTTTCCACCACTCTATCAGTGTTTAAAGCCGCGTAGTTTTTTTTTACGGAAAGTTGACTATGGAGCATTTTCAAAGGTTGTTAAAATGAAACATTTAGCTTTTCGTTATTCTTTGAACTTAGAGTTTTATAGTTTTATGATCGAAAAACCTTATTTGAGCATGATTTTTAAAAAGCTGTATTTCAAGAATGAATAGACCCCATTGAAAACGATTCCAATTATAATGGCATTGGATCGTCTATTACCTATTTATTGATTTTGTTTTGGTGAAAATGAAAGGCTACTGGCACTTTTGAAGTCTTGAACAAAATTTGAGAAAAAGGATCTTACCCTCTTTATGCAAAAGTAGCTTGAACCTTACCCTTTATGACTCTTTATGCAAAAGTAGCTTGAAAAATTCGATTTAGAGTGACATCAAAAATCTAAGAATATCATCTTAAAGCTCTCAAAAAATACTACAAAAAAAACTAATTGAGATCGATTTATTCGAATGCGATCTAACGGGCGAAAAATGAGAAAACATTAGCGGGTCAATACTTTTTTTTCCATCACTGTAAGTCTTCCAGAAGCATAGAGCTTGCTTCAGTACAGCATGCTTTGTTTTATATGGTGCACGGCTCTTTGCAATGTTTGGGAAACGACATTTTGAAACGGCCACTCTAGTCTTTCCGCAATGGCAATATGACTTTCTGCTTTAAATGCCTTCTGAAAAAGCCCGATTCAATAATTCTAACCTTTGTTCAATTTAGATGACCCGATCTCAACGTTGTCAACGGCTCACGATGCATCGGTTTATTCGCTCTTGGAGAGCGTGATCAGTGTGAGCATGGTGAATTTTGCAAAGGGTGAATTATTTTTTGATAATTTGATTTTAACATTGATAATTGAAGGTTAAACTTTTGGTGAATTGAAATCTTTATGACACTTGCTTTTTTTAGATACGGTTTATCAAGAGGACGTGGATTTGTCGACCGCCTGGGAGTGCTCGGATCCATCGTGCTACACGCCGGCTCGAAACACGTGCATCGTTGAATTTTCGGATGGCTTTCTTGTTCCTGAGGTATGTTTTGAGTGTGAAGCTGCACAGTGTTAGCCTAATAAATGAGAAGTTATTGTCTCAAATCTAGTCGCAAAATGCTATTATACTAATTAACTTGTAGTTACCCTTAAAAATTGTGGTCTTACTACACTTAGGGAGGGGGGCAAAATTATAGTGACCATTTTCTCCCATCTCGCGGCCTCCCTTTCTAAGCTTTACTAATTTCAAATCTCAAAATTTTTTAATAACGCTTAGATTTCACATTTTGTAGCCATTGTTTATTTCTCTTAGGTTCTTAAGCTAGATTACAAGTTTTATACGGTCTAGGGTTCACCAATACCCTGTTCCTTCCAATAGACGCCGAGTGGCAAGAAGTCACTTTTAAACAGAAAAATATTAACCCAAATTGTTTTAAACGCTTTTAAAATATCACCATTCGATTCAGCGCGGCTGATTACCCTAGAAAAAGTTGAAAAACAAGCAACTAACTCATCAAAAACGGTCACTATAATTTGACCCCCCGCCCCAAGTGTAGTAGCAACAAAATTGTTTCTTGAGCATTATTTTTGCCCCTAAGACTTTGATTACTTTCATAAAAGGTTCATAGCAAGACTAAGGTTAAATTGCTACTATTTTTCCCCATCATCAACCAAACAGACGAATAAGCTTTGCAATGTTTTTTGTTTAGGCTGTGTCGCTTGAGTCGGTGTTGAGTGAGAATGTTTCCTTCTACGAGGTGATGCCGAGCGAGATTGAAGTTGAACGTGCGTACTTGAGTGGTTTGATGATAATACTAATTGTTAACTATCTTATAGTATTTTACTAGACTCTAAACTTAATGTTTGTTTTGACTACGAGAATAATACACTTCTCTTTTTAGCCACTTTTGCCTATCAGACGTTCGGCGGTGTACGTGCAATCGATTCGCTTGATGAAGTCTCTAAGCGAACCACCACCAAGTTGATCCCCGTTTTCCCTGGTTTGAACAATTTTTACAGCTTTATTATACTCGTTTCTTTTAGAATACACTCAATTTGCTTGGAATGATGTGAAGACAGGTGCGACTTTTGCAAAGATTTGTTAGCAAATGGGCTTTCGATAAAATTTTGAAACGACAGCTGATCTTGCTCTGAGATGATAAGATCTTGAAAAAAACCTCAATTGTCATGTTTTTATTCAATTTTGTTTTGTTTAGATGTCTCTGAGCGTTCAATGAGCCCATCGGAGATCGAGGTCGAGTTTGAGCCGTGGAACGAGTGGTGCCGTGGCTTTGTCGACGGTGGAAAGCAACAACAATAAGCCTTCGTCTTTGATTTTTGTGATAAATGGGCTAATAAACGTGTGTTTCTGCGTTTGGTTTAATTGTAGTATCAATGTTTTGAAAAGAAACGAATAAATGTTGGATCGTCACGGTTGCAAATCAAATTTATAATGTTTATCCTGGTTGCGTTTAAATAGCGACGATTGCAGCGTTTGACTGTTTAATTTAAATGTTCAAATTGACCCCGTAGCCTACGTTACTTTGCAAACAACGTCCGCTTTCCGTGCTCTCGTACCTTTCATATTCATTTTGCCGTGTTTCCTTATTTTTCCTTGCAGTTGACGAAATTTATCGGCTATTGGCCGATTTTGATGTAAATTTTGGATTTGGCCTACTAAAAAGGCACTAACAGTCTTGGCAGAATTTGATTTGAATTGGCAAAACTTGCTCTGGATTTAGGTTGTTGCAGTTTTGCACACGTGCACGGTTTTGATGCAAATCCGTCAAATTTCATACTATTTTTGTCACTCAATCATCTAAAGTCTTTATTTTAACTAAAACATAGTTTGGATTTTATTTTAAAAATATCCCATTTAGCACATTTGGTGAATTTTCTTGTTTTTTGTAAAATTAATTTAAAATAAAAAAAAAAAATAAAAAAAAAAAAAAAAAAAAAAAAAAAAAAATTTATTAATTTATTTTTAAATTTTTTAAATTTTTTTATATTTTTTAAAAATTTAAAAAAAAAAAAAAAAAAAAATTTTTGGTTTCCTGTCTAAAATGCCATTTACAGTGCTAATTTTTCTATTTTTCAGGTAAAATGCGTCCTCTATCGTTGAAGGGACACGATCGTGCACTGACGCGCGTGCGCTTTAATCGCGAGGGTGATCTTCTCTTCTCGGCTGCGAAGAACAAAGCGCCGTGCGTGTGGTTCACGGAGAATGGCGAACGAATCGGCACTTACGAGGGACACAACGGAGTCGTCTGGGACTTGGACGTCAGCTGGGACACGAAAAGTATGGCAACTGCTTCGGGAGACAACTCGGTAGGTTTTGATGAATTTGAGTGGATGGAGCTTTATACAGGAGCAGGCTTTGTTAAATGTGACCAGCTGTCGCTGGCCGCCACTAAGCGGGGAAAAGCCTGGGGTGCATCCGCATCGAGGGGTCGAAGTTCGACTCCAGGTGCGGTCAAAAATTTTTTTTGAGCAAATTTCTGAGTCTTGGAAAACGCTCGAACAAATTTTCAACCAAATCGGTCCACGGGGGCTGAGATTGAAAACGGTGACGGACAGACAGACGGACGGACGTGCTAGACTTTTCGATATAAGTAGGATTCCGTAAAATCCCCATAATGGTTTTTGTCGATACATTAAAAACTCTTTTAAGTTTTGTTATCTAAAAAAAACCTTTTTTTTTTTGCCCCAAGGACCTTTTTTTTCGTTTTGATGGTTAAAATATAAAAAAAAGTTTAAACGAGTAAACGTTGTGCAAGCACTTACTACATGCTGAGAAAGAGGTGTTGCTTAAGTTAGGTCTAATCTTTTAATCACATAAATTTAACGTTTTGCTTATCGGAAGCTATGTAAAATTGTTAAAATCTGTAAGTCTAGCTTTAATTGACTGTGGAAGTCTGTAATATTATAAATCTTTTCAAAAAACATCCCAATATTTTGTAATTTTAGGTGCGCCTTTGGGACACAGAGACGGGTAAATGTCTTAACGCCGTCAACATGCCGACGCCGGCCCGTTCTGTGAGCATGTCGTGCTCGGGAAACCTCGTCGCCTACACTACAATGAAGATGACCAAGAATTTGTCGACCCTCTGTGTGGTGGACATTCGTGACCCCGAGCAAATGTTACTAGAGAACAACATGCCGATGTTCCGCGCTCAACTCGACCATGGAGCCGTTGCTAGTTTGTTTTCGCATCTCGATGACAAGGTGGTGATCGGGAATGAAGCCGGTGTCCTTTTACAATACGATGTTCGAAATCCGGATATGCCGATAAATGCCAACGAGAAAACGCACAAGTACGCGATCAACGACTTGCAATTGTCGCCATGTGGAGCGTTCATCATCGCGGCTTGTCGTGACAAAACGGCTTCACTCCTGGACGTAAACTCACTGGATCAACTGAAACAATATCGATCGGAAAGGCCCGTCAACTCGGCATGCGTTTCACCGATCCGGGATCACATCTGTTTGGGTGGAGGAGAGGACGCGATGCAAGTCACACAAACCGCCGTGTCAGCCGGACATTTCGAAGCAAAACTCTACCATTTGGTGTTCGAAGAGGAGTTTGCACGTTTCAAGGGACATTTCGGACCGATTAACACAATGGCTTTCCACCCATCGGGTACGACTTTGGCTACTGGAGGAGAGGACGGTTACGTGAGGGTACAAGAATTCGACGACGATTATCTCGAGTTTAAATACGATTTTTGAGTCCTCGTTGTTTCAAACGTTTCTCGGTTCCTCTTTTTGCGTGTTTGTGTTTGAATTGTTACTGTTGAATGGTTAAAATTAAGTGGTACTTGGTGAAAAGGAAGGAGATTGGTTATTTTAGGCGATTGATCACGGTTTTAGCTCAATGTTCAAAAAGTTGGGCATAATCTCTCTCAAACTCGTTACTTTTCACGCCAAGAGCGACCAACGGTTCAATTTTGAGAGTATTTTTTATTGTTGGGAAGATTTTGCGATTTGGTTATTTCTATCTAGTTCCTGGTGTATTGTCATTCCAACCGTTATCCCTACTCTCATGTTTTCTTTTCCTGGTTCTTTGTTGATCTGTTTAAATTATTACGTAAACTGAATAAATTTTAGACAGGAAATCGATGGCGACAACATCGATCGTCACTGAGGACTCGTTGGAAGTGAGTTAGGATTGTTGTGTGAAAAAAAACCTTGGTCTCTGTTTTGGGTAGTTGAGAAACCTTTTAAACTAGGCTAGCTTGATAATCAAAAGATGATTGAACTTTTTTTTCTGGTAGTTTGTGAGAAATTAGTAAATATTAGTTATTAGAAATCAGAGCCAACGGAAAGCGGTCATTTGAGGTGAACTTGGCGACTTTTTACTGTTAAAACCGGAAATAACTGGTGGTTCTGATTGTGTAAAGCTAGAAAATGAGTGTATTAAAGATTCAGATTGGAAAAAGATTACCTCTTGCATTTAGGTCAAACACGTGGACAATGACGGAGAAGAGGGTGGAAAAATCGAGGACATTGCCGACCGCGAGGAGTATTTCGTAAAGCCGCTCTACACCTACTACTGCACCTGTGGACAGGTATCTTTTGATAATCCAATAATCAACGTATGTATTGAGTCAAAGTAAGAAAAACTTGTTTGAAATCCAAGATTTGAAGCAAAGTGGAATAGCTTGGAGCATTCCTATGCGAATTTAGGCATTGATGCATTGACTGACTATCTTAAGAAACCTGCATAAATTCAGCGTTTCCGTTTGCAAATTTTGAAGCTTGAGACTATTCATAATCAATATTATGATATAACCACTTTACCAAAGATTGCAGGGTGCAACCCATCCTTAATAGATATCTGTTTCAGCAATAACTTTTCTCTAAACGTTAATTTTTTTTTTCTTTAGATGGCGTTGATCTCCGACACGTTACTTGCAAGGCTACCATTGAGGAAACGCGATCGAGCCCGAGTAGTCGATCCGCAAAGAACAACAGCTCAATCGTTTGCCGACGTTGGAGACACTGTCTATGTGAAAAGGTATGAAAATTTGTCGAGTACTTTCTAATAAGAATAAGCCACTGGATACACGATAATTGGATTTAAATTTGAGCGGATATTAACTTTATTAAGCTTTCATGAAGTGTATTTTTTCAGAGACGGCCTCGGTCTTGAGCAGCAATACCGGAAGAATTGTCGGGGCTGTCAAGTGCCGATCTTCTATCAGCATCCCTTCAAGAAGTTAACCTTCATCTTTCAGGTTGAGTTTTAGCGGTAAATCAGTAATGTGAAATTTTAGGATGCACTACTTTCTGCACAAGAAGTTGGTGGTTTTTCTGGAAACAACGAGGAGCAAAGGACGAAAAAGGTTAATATTATCATCATTCACCAACAACAATTTAATTTAGGTGATCATGATGAAACACGTGAAGAACCAAGGAAAGCAAGGATCGGTGACGGTGTCGACGATTGAAGAAGAAGAGGAGGAAATTGAAGCGGTTGGTGGTTATGAGCTTGTAAAATATCTCGAAGGATTCTTTAAAATTCTAAACTTTAAAATATAAGACTTCAAATAAACTTTGCTTATATGGTAAAACAATAGAAATTATTACTCAAGGCTTTAAGTAATCCTTTCGTGTTGCGTAATTTGTTATTTTTTATTTAGAGAGAAACCGAGGAGAGCTACACGATGAACGCCAAGATCATCCAGGAGGCGATGAGGAAGAAAAATGTGATAACGGGTAAATTTTGGTTACATCATGTTAACAACTAGTAAAGATGGCTCAAAGTACGCAACGAAACAAATTCCACGTTTCGTTTTCTCTTGGCAGATCTCTTGTCTAGATCTCTCCATCCTCTCTAAGTACGGTGCTTTTGCATACTTCAACTCCATGCTAGAAAACAAAAGCAAAAAAGTTTGGAGCGAACGGGAATCGAACCCGACACCCAACGCAGGGCAGTCGTTTTGTAGACGGAACGCAAATCACCTCGGCCACGTCCTCCTAGTATAAGTGCTTCGGAGGGTATCAGGGTCCCGATATTGCTTTGAAGGATTAAGAGATAGATCCCAATATTGTTACAGGGGTCTTGGAGGGGATCATCTAACTCGAGAGATCAAGTTATACGTTAGCTCTAAAACAGCCAGCCAGAAAAACCCGCGATTTAAGCGGGTTTTTCGGCTGGTACTGATATATGGTTACTGTAGTTAGAGTGTTGTCTCATTGTCAGTAGTAGGGTATGAATGTAATGATAATAACAAAATTTCGACTTTAAGCCGGCTTATTTTATATATTATCTCAATAGTGTCGAATGATTGATAATAACTCTTCCCGTTCAGGCGCCTCGAAACGTGCGATGGAGGCCGGTTTGATGGGACCGCCAAAGAAAAAGAAAGGATCGTTATTGTAATTGTTTGTACATAATAAAGTCGTTTATTTTGCCTAAAAATCTATGTGAATGCTTGGAATAGCTTGTTGAAAATGTGACAAAATCTTTATAGAATTTTTTTTTCATAAAAAGGCACATAAATCTCACAAAAGGCTGGGGGAAATATCACAAAAAGGGCACACGGCGATCATTTAGGACAAAATGAAGAAAGAAACCCGATAATTTCGATAAACAAATGCAAATTTCGAGGGAGAAATGCTAATTTTTGGTCACATTAGAAAAAAGCAAATTTTTGGCGAAAAAATATGGCAATTCAACGGAAAAAGGCAACAAAAATGGCATTTTTTCGGAAAACTGAAACTTTTGACAGAAAAATAACCGATAAAATAGCAAAAATGGTCATGTGAATGAGTAAAACTAACGGAAAAATGGTCATGTTTTTGGGAGAAAAAGCAGAGGATCGACTTGAATTTTGGTGATAATTGTGACAACAAGCGACGACTAGAATGGGCAAATTTGGGGATTTTTTTGGGTACCGTGACCATTCTCAAACAGTCTTTCCCTAAAATGTGTCCCCTTTACTCTTTCTACCGTAATCTTGTCTAGATTTTTATCCAATTTATCCACTTTTTATATCTTTTGTTATCCTTTGTGGACCCTCACAGAATTAGACTAAAAAGTGGACAGATTGGATCAAAAAATGGAGGCAGGATTACGGTAGAAAGAGAAAGAGGAAGAGAAAGAGGAAGAGGAAGAGAAAGAGAAAGAAGGACACGTTTTAGGGAAACGAATAAGAAAGTACTTTGATTGACCTGGTACTATTAATTTCGTTAATCGTTAATGAAATAATTACGGCACCATGCATAAGACGCTGAAAAGATTAAATATTGGAAAGGAAGGGCACCATGCAAATGAGTTCTTGTTGTAAGAAACAGCAACTAATCTTTCAGGGATACGGTAACTACTTTTGCGAAAAGGTAACATTTAGAAGAAGATTGGTTACTTTTGTTTTTCCACTAGAAAACAGTCTAAGAGCAGTATAAAGCAGTATAAAGAGTAGTATAAAGAGCAAATTATAGTCCCGAAGAGCAAATGATAGTATTCCTGTTGTCATAAACTTTCGATTTACCTCTTTTCCTAAAAGATTTCCTTTTAAAGAAGCCTTTTCACGAGAAAAGCAATGAAGAATCAGCGATAATGTGATAGCTTTCTTCTTTAAGGGATATCTTTTAGAAGAATAGACAAATTCAAGATTTATGGCTACAGGATTACTGTAGAAAGGAATCATTTAGAAGACAGTAGAATCTAAGGTTTAACGTTACTGTAACTCTAGCAACTTTTGAGCAAAGAAATGACACTCAAACATGAACACCGGCCTCTCTTGTGCCGTATCTTGGCGGTGGTGAGGTGAATCTCGGGGTATTCCCGCCATCCGATGAACAATCCGAACATGCACATTCTGATTGAGCGAATTGTTGCTGTTGCTGTTGCTGTTGTTGTTGTTGTTGTTGTTGTTGTTGTTGTTCTCCCAAATGCAATCTCTGGATGTGCACATGAGTGATCGCTTGTGGACGCCCCTGTTTCCCTTTTTCTTTCACTTGATCACTTTTCTCTTGACCCGGCAACGCTTTGAGACACCAATTCTGAAAGAGTATTATTGTTAGTTTTGTTTCAAAATCTTTCATCTAGCAGTATTTTAGGAGTTTAGTACTTTTATGGAACGATGTTAGTACGAATCTTGTTTCTATTCTTTGTCCAATCTATCTATCGTACGAGTAAACGAGTCAGGGATGACTGCATGCTTTAGTATTAGATTGGATTTAGTACTAGATTGGGTTTAGTATTAGGTTGGAAAGAAAGTTCTCGGAAAAAGAGTTTGCACGATGATTTCTTAAAAATCAAACCCATCAATTCTTCTCTAATTTTTTGAGAAACTTGACTAGATTTCAGAAAGCTTTTAACCAAAAAAAAAGCAAGAGATTTCTTCAGCTGAAGTGATTTGTTCACTTTTTAAGTGATCAGCCTTTAGACAAGGTTTGAATTGGTTAATGACTAGGCAATAGCAATAGCAATAGCAATAGCAATAGCATTTAAAACCTGAAATGAAGTACTTCAGCTGGACGAGTTTTAATTGGTTAATGTTAATGTTAACGAAAATTTTGTCTAGAATTGATCCCTTAGTCTAGATCATAAAGAGCAGTTGGAAATCTTTTCCTACAGCTTTGTTCTTTCAGAATTTAGCTCTTTTCACTCGGTCGACATGTACAAATCGTCTTTTTTTTTTGAGGAAATTCGAGTGAAACTTTTTCTTGAGAACCTTTCTTGCAAACCTAATAGTTATTAGACATGGGAAAATTCCAACCGAAACCTAATTCCACCTTCGTTTTCTCAGCCGTCTCTTGGTCGATTTTTCTGAAATTTTGTTTACAAATAGAAATTAGCATTCTCTGTTTGTAAACAAAATCTCAGAACAATCGACCAAGAGACAGCTGAGAAAACGAAGGTGGAATTAGGTTTCGGTTGGAATTTTCCCATGTCTAATAGTTATAGTAAAAGAAAATTTTTGTTTTTTTGTTCTAGCTAAAGTACGGTGGCTAATAGGGATTTTTAGGGAGCTTTCTTTAGCTATAGAGTTTCTATAGATTTAGGGTATTGTGGGGAGGGGGAGGGGGGGGGAAATAAAATATCTAACTTTCTTTCGAAACTTTCGGAAATTTTCATCAACACATTTTAGTCGTCACTTAAAAAGCGGCTTTTCTCTCGTTTCTTTAGATTGTTTCTTTTTTGGAATAGTTGAAAAAGGGATAAAGATGGACATACACAACATTTGCACACGGGAATCACGACTTTTGTGATCAGATGATAGAGAAGGAAAAGTGCGATCGCGTAGATAACCTGAAAATTTGAATTTTTTATTATCATCGTTGGGGGGACACTTCAAGCGATATAACTTCTAAACGCACTCTTTCTAGTGCACTGCATTTTCTTTAGCGCTTTAAAAACGAATGCTTTACACTAGACTACGAAACACTCCTCATTGTCATTACATTTATGATGTCATTACGATGTTTTGATGTCTCACTCACCACATTGCCCAAGACGACAATCAATTCCCCGATATCCGACACGCCTTTCACCCAGCGCATCGGGTTTAGATAACTGAAAAATAAATGTTTTGATGAATGAATAAAAATGAATGGATTAAAATGAATGGATTAAAATGAATGGATTAAAATGAATGGATTAAAATGAATGAATAAAAATGATTATCGTAGTCATTATCTGAATTTTTATATCTTTTAAAAAAACGCACTCGATAACGTTGTCCAAATTGATTCGATTGCATTCAGGGCAATGACCGGTCCCTTCACGCCACGTGTTACTGTCCATGTCGACCTGATTGATTGAAATGATTTTAAGATTTGATAGATACAGTCCACGCTCGATAGTAAATCGCTTTTGAAAACTCCCGACAAAACACTCAAGAAAATACAAGAGCAAAAAGCTTGATAGTAAATCACTCGATAGTAAACCGCTCGATGGTAAATCACTCGATAGTAAATCATGCTCAATAGTAAACCACCCGATAGTAAACCATGCTCAATAGTAAATCATGCTCAATAGTAAATCACTTTTGAAGAATCCCTCCAATCGTAAACACGTTTATTCAACTACGAGAAATTCAGTCACTTTCCATTTTCAAGAAACAAATAGAGGCTCTAGATCTAACGGCTCGCTCGTCGGTAATCTAATTATTTGCATTTTCACTCTATCTTTTATCTCCCTTCTTTTGTCTCTACATTTATGTCCCACTGTGTATTTCTCTATGATTTATTGGGTTTCACTTTATCATCTGAATAAAGTATGATCATCAAAGCCACAAAATGGTATTTATCAGCCTATTCACAGTGTTTTTAATGTTTTTAAGACTGATTAGACGAAACTCTTGATAGTAAATCAATTTTTAGAGAATCCCTTCAATGATTTACTATCGAGCGTCGACTGTACATGGTAAACATTGGATAATATTGGATTACGGTAACTATACACGACGACAAAAAAACATTTCCCTCACCTCTAACGGTTTCTCATGATAGGCGACTACATGGCAAATCCTTCGTTCCTCTGGTGTCTCGTCGGCTCTCACGCAAATCATTCGATCACCCTCCTAAAGGAATATTAAGAAATAGAGAATTGTAAATGCTTTAATAGAACCCCATATAGAAGCATTGCGTAGTCTAAGTTTTCTCTCAAAAACGAATGCAGTACGTTTACGTAAAAGCCATTTACCGTAAAAGCCATTTTATTCATCATTTTTTTTTTCTTTCTATGTTAAAAATATTTCTTTTCTCGACTTTAATTTGATACTTAAGCAAAAAAAGAAAGAAATAACTGCGTGTCAAGCTTAGCTAGATATAAGCTTTCGTTTGTGATTAAACTCTTTGACTACGCGACGCTCCTCGATGAGGCTCTATTAAAGCATTTATGGTAGTTGTTGGGGTAGGCTAGTTTCTGGGATTTTTATTTGCGCAACTCACCATAACGTTATTCTAAATGGATTAAGCTTTATGATTTTTGGTTTATTTCATTTTATAGATCTCAATAAATGCAAGAAAATGAAACCAAAATCATAAAGATTGGTCCACTTAGCATGTGAGAAATCTCAAAATCGAATGGAGAAACAAGAGTAGGCTAATTTCCGTCATTTTATTTGCACAATACGCCATAACTTTCTTCTAAATGGATTAAGCTTTATGATTTTAGTTTCATTTTATAGATCTCAATAAATGCAAGAAAATGAAACTAAAATCATAAAGATTGGCCCACTTAGCATGTGAGAAATCTCAAAATCGAATGGAGAAACAGGAGTAGGCTAATTTTCGCCATTTTATTTGCACAATACGCCATAACTTTATTCTAAATGGATTAAGCTTTATGATTTTTGGTTTGTTTCATTTTATAGATCTCAATAAATGCAAGAAAATGAAACCAAAATCATCAAAATTGAGGGATTTCGAAGAAAGTTGTAGCGAGCTGTGCAAATGCCCTAGTTGCGCAAATAAAAAAGGCGGAAATGGCTTAGCCGACAGCCATTTTGTTGCACTTATTGAGATCTACAAAATGAAACCAAAAATCATAAAGATTGAGGGATTTAGAAGGAAGTTATGGCGCGGTGTGCAAATGCCCTAGTTGCGCAAATAGAAATTGCGGAAATTAGCCTAGTTGTTAGTTGTTTTTTTTAAAAAAATCTTTTTCTAGATTTATCTGTTCCTTTAGATATACAAATTTTTAAGGGGAAATCATATTATCATTGTATTCACCTCAACAACGGCTGGCAACGGAATGATCAATGTTTTATTCACCGCTTGCAAATCGTTCACATAAGTCGTGAAACTAAAAAAGCTATTTAGTTATTGGAAATTATTTCTTTTTTAGTTTAAATAAGAGGCTAAAAGGCTTATTTTAAAAGAGACTTATTTAAAAGATTTAAGATTTAAAAGAGATAAATGATTTAAAAGATTTAAAAGATTTAAATGATTTAAAAGATTTAAATGATTTAAATGATTTAAATGATTGAAATGATTGAAATGATTTAAATGATTTAAATGATTTAAAAGATTTAAATGATTTAAAAGATTTAAATGATTTAAATGATTGAAATGATTGAAATGATTTAAAAGAAAATTCCCTTTGCTTCCAATGCCTCTTTATCAAATTCATTTCCCGTTAGAGCCGCTAGATTATGGAACTTGCTCCCAAACGACATACGAGAAATTCAGTCGCTTTTCATATTCAAGAAACGTATCGATGCTTTAGATCTAGTGGCTCTTTGCCGTAAGTAATTGGCTTATTGATTTCAGTATGTATTGTATGATTAAGTATCACTGTGCATTTCTCTATCATTTCTTTCACTTTATCGTTTGAATAAAGTATTATTATTTATTTAAAAGATTTAAAAGATTTAAATGATTTAAATGATTTAAAAGATTTAAAAGATTTAAATGATTTAAATGATTTAAATGATTTAAAAGATTTAAAAGATTTAAAAGATTTAAAAGATTTAAATGATTTAAATGATTTAAATGATTTAAATGATTTAAAAGATTTAAAAGATTTAAAAGATTTAAATGATTTAAATGATTTAAAAGATTTAAAAGATTTAAATGATTTAAAAGATTTAAATGATTTAAATGATTTAAATCATTTAAATGATTTAAAAGAAAATCTTTTTAAAAAAATTAGTTTAATCGAATCAAGCAAAAGATTTTATGAAAATTTTTCGAGAGATTCGAATCTAATCTTTCTTCTAATCCTTTTAATCTTTTAAAATAGAATCTTCAAAGAATCTTTATTGAATCTTTAGAATCTTTAGTCAGCTATAAACCTATGCAAATCGATTGATCTCTCCTCAATGCCACTTTTCACGATGCCGTTGATTTTCCCGGATGCTTCGTGCAGAGTGACGTTGAAATAACTGAATGTAAAAGAGTTGAAAGCTAGCTGGCTGGCTGGCTTCTTGTGGATAAAAGCTTTTTAAAGCCTAAAGCTTTTTACAGCCTAAAGCTTTTTACAGCTTAAAGCTTTTCAAAGCAGCCTAAAGCTTTTGAAAGCCTAAAGCTTTTCACAAAGCCTAAAGCTTAAAGCCTAAAGCTTTTTAAAGCCTAAAGCTTTTTACAGCCTAAAGCTTTTTAAAGCCTAAAGCTTTTCAAAGCCTAAAGCTTTTTAAAGCAGCCTAAAGCTTTTCAAAGCTTAAATCTCTTTAAAGCCTAAATCTCTTTAATAAACAAACCGATTACTCCTTGCGTCAACGATGATACTGCCCGAGAAATCGTCAACTGATGAGGCATTGTGGAAGAAAAGAACATGATGATCTTTCCCGCCAGTTACTGCAAAATTCTTTCATTATTTACAGCAAACTTTAGAGATTTTCTAGTAAAAAGGGTTGGCAAAGAAAAAAAAAAGGAAAAAGTTAATTCTAGTTAATCGCTTTCTGTTTATCGTTTGATTGTTAGATTTGACTCAATTTCAACACCTTCCCTTTTCGCTTTACAAGAGCTTTTCAAGAGTCCTTTTTTTCAACCTTAGTCCACGTAAACTATCTGCCCAGAGACCAGAATTTGATATGACTTTTGAGCCGACTTGTTTAAGCCTTTATTATCTAGTTTCATCTAGCTGATTTTCTCGGTATTAAAATTCGAAAATAATACTCGTCATCAGGGGTAGTACCTCTCAACGCAATTTTGAGATTCGTCCCCTCGGCATGCGTGACAATGACACTCCTTGCGCGGCCATCGTAGAAACGAGCTCTCTCAATCCATGGATGGAGACGCTCCAGTGGACGCGAGAGATTGAAATTCCCCGGCATCTGAAAGCATTCAGTTTCCACAATGTTTCATTTAACCCGGTAAGTCAAGTCAGACCAGGTAAAACAATGTCAAGAGCTAGCTGGCTGACTTCTTGTGGACCCAATGACTTTTGTAGGCCTTTTGGCCTGATCCGATACAATTGGTTGGCTCCGATCAAGGCAGAGTTTTGCAGATCAGGTCAGGTGTAGAGCTGCTTACATAATAGTTGGCCTCAAGTTGGCCTCAAGCTTCCCGAACTTACATAATAGTTGGCCTCAAGTTGACTCATGAATGTTTGATCCTTGCAGTTCAGCGATTTCGCTTTGTGAACCTAAAAGTGGGTTTGATTTCTTGAATGATACAGTAACCAGTACTCTATAGTACTCTATAGTACTCTATAGTACTCCATAGTACTCTACAGTACTCCATAGTACTCTACAGTACTCTATAGTACTCTACAGTACTCTATAGTACTTTACAGTACTCTATAGTACTCTATAGTCCTCTACAGTACTCTCTATTCTCCATCAAAACTCACATCATCCAAATGCACGGCTCCATTCTCAGCCACGAAACGCCCGTGCTTCCCCTCACGATACCAGCCGAGGCGTTGATAACTGAATTTATAATATAGCATTAGATTTTATTGTAATATTGAAATATATCCAGCTTTAGCTTGGCTTTGACTTTTTGCTTGAGATCAAATCTCGTAATCTTCCTTATACTTTAAAACTCTACGAATCAAAGAACTCGCACTTTCTCTCGGAAATCTCATTTATCGGCATCCTCCTGATCCCTTCCATTTCCCCGCCTCGATTCGTTGGCGCAAAGTACATTCCCCTTTCCAGCTGATGCGACGCTCGACCACCGGCTGAGACGGATAACTCGAGACGGGACAATGCGTCAAGGATTCTGAATACAGTTCATACAGATCGACTGAACTAGGTCCGACCAGGAGCCAGTTCTGGCAACACAAATGTTTCCACTAGTCCATTGGTCAGCTATATGCCAGGACCAGTTTAGACGAGAAATTTGGTTCCATTCCGACCAAAAACAGAGCCACAATGGCTTTAGGTTCAGGCCAGATTAGGCTCAGGCTTTACCATACTAGAAACTATTTCAAATTCAGGTCCAGTCAGACTAGACCAGCCAAAAGCGATGCCTAGATCCGGCTCAGGTTTAGTAATCAGGGCTAGAGTTGTTCAGGCTAGCCCATACCTTGTCAAATTCAGCCTCCAGCTGCTTTGAGCTTTGTGGAAGCCATTAACAAAGCAAAGAATCTAATCCCTTCACTCACTTGTCCTGTGATCCGCCATCAAGCTGCGTTCGAATAACACTCTTGTCCATTTCAACCCATCGACCGCTCTAGATACAAATATTATATATCAAGAATATCAAGAATATCAAGAATCGATAAATCTAGACAAAACTGTTTTTAAAGTCTGTGCTTATAGCTGTAAAGTTGATTGTTTTTTACAGCAAGGCTTTGAAAACAATAGTGCTTACAATAGTGCTTACAATAGTGCTTACAACAGTGCTTACAACAGTGCTAACAATAGTACTAACAATAGTGCTAACAATAGTGCTTACAACAGTGCTTACAACAGTGCTTACAACAGTGCTAACAATAGTACTAACAATAGCTTTTCAGTGCACCAGAAGATGTCTGTTTACGAGAGCACAAAGATGAGGCTTTCCACTCACCACATAATCGTAGGCAGTGTAGAGGAAAGTGGCATACGTGGATGGTTGCTCGATCATCACCGCTGTGTATGATTGATTTTTGTAGGGACGAAACTGAATTATATAGTTTGAAAGCTGTTAGATAGATATAAAATATCATTTATCGAATGAATGATCTTTTAGAAACATTGGCTACCTTTAGCTCACAGCAAAGACTCGGATTTGAGCCAGACGAGCATCCGTTCGGCGATTGGTCCGGGAAATAGGTACGGTAACATGAGGTGGACTGAAGGGAAAGTTTTAGAATTTCAAGCTGGATAGCTATTACTTGAAGTGCTCAAAGTATATGAATAGTTAGTTTCGATATTAGTTTGATACTAGTTACATTTAATGGGATCATAGGTTGATAATTAAAGCTCTGGTACAGTACTTGTTCAGAGAATCTATTCAAATATATAGCTTTGTTTGTCTGTTTGTCTGCCTATTTGTCTGTCTCTTTGTCTGTCTATTTGTCTGTCTGTTTGTCTGTCTGTTTGTCTGTCTGTTTGTCTGCCTCTTTGTCTGTCTGTCTATTTGTCTGTCTATTTGTCTGTCTGTTTGTCTGTCTCTTTGTTTGTCTGTTTGTTTGTCTGTTTGTCTGCCTGTTTGTCTGTTTGTCTGTTTGTCTGTCTGTTTGTCTGCCTCTTTGTCTGTCTGTCTGTTTGTTTGTTAAACTTAATCAAGTAAAAGCTAGTAGATTACCTGATCATTGACATCTTGTGGTGGACACTCGATGAAGCGATAATTTTGCGCATTGCAAGTTGATGACGGTGAACACTCGCAAATGCATGTCTCAGACACTTCAGGAATAGCGAACACGTATTGCTGGGTGACCTGAGAAGATTCAGAAAGTTAGCTCCCTCTGGAGTAGGGGAGATTAGATGCGTTGTGGGGTGTAATGGTGAGGTAAGGGAAAGGTCGAGGGTTCGAGTCTCTCGCGGCGCACGAGTTTCTGCTCTAGTTTCAACTAGCAGATCGAATGGATATGAATGGATATCTATTTACCGTATTTGTTCTAGATTTTCTAACTAAGATAATCGAATTTCAGGAGAGAAATCAGAAAATTTGACTTGGAGATTTGAGATGAAAGAGTTTCGAGATTCGTTTTTGGGATTTCCGGAAAACCTGGCAGGGAATCGGTTTGAAACTGTTAAGAAAACCTGGGAGTTAGGGAACCAGTTTCAAGTTTCCTTAACAGTTTGGGGAACTAGTTCCAAGTTTTCTTAACAGTTAGAGAATCGGTTCCAAGTCTTCTTAAGAGTTAGAGAATCGGTTTCAACTTTTCTTAAGAGTTTGGGAATCGGTTCCAAGTTTCCTTAACAGTTTGGGGAACCAGTTCCAAGTTTTCTTAACAGTTAGAGAATCGGTTCCAAGTTTTCTTAACAGTTAGAGAATCGGTTTCAACTTTTCTTAAGAGTTTGGGAATCGGTTCCAAGTTTCCTTAACAGTTTGGGGAACCAGTTCCAAGTTTTCTTAACAGTTTGGGGAACTAGTTCCAAGTTTTCTTAACATTTAGAAAACCAGTTCCCAAACTGTTCGTAAATTTCTCTCTAGAAGTGGAACTACTTTCATTGAATGATATTATTGTAGAGTTAAACGTGGCGTATCGACTTGATATGTCTAGATTCGATTTATCATTTTAAAGATAGTTTTTTTCGTTGACTATTTCTTTGGTGATTGAAGAAATCCGAGTTGAAATAAATCGACGAAATCTTGGGATTAATTGAGTCAAAAAAGAAAAAGAACACCATTCGATTTAGCTTATTTTTCTCTACAATCTTTTTAGTAAGCCGAGAGAAAAGAGAAATGAAAGAGAAATGAAAGAGAAATGAAAGAGAAATGAAAGAGAAATGAAAGAGAAATGAAAGAGAAATGAAAGAGAAATGAAAGAGAAATGAAAGAGAAATGAAAGAGAAATGAAAGAGAACTTTCCATTGATCTACCTCTAGAACTTTAGAAAAGATATCAATAGCAATAGCAATAGAAAAGCAATAGAAAAGCAATAGAAAAGCAATATCAATCAATATCAATCAATCAAGCTATTCGTCGAATCCGATAAATCCAATAAATTCGATAATTTTCTTTAATTTTAACTTTAATCCTTTTATCCTTTTATCCTTTTAATTCCATTGTTTCCCCCTCACCGGATGATGGTGTTCCAATTTGTCCAAACGCAACGTGTGTAACCATGAAGAGTGCACAGATTTGTTGACAAACGAGTGCTCATCTTAAAAAGGGTTGTCATCTTGTAATCTTGTAATCTTATCTGTCGCTTATCTTTTTCTATATCTATTTAGAAAATCGCTTACAATCATCATCGAGTCGAAAGCATACTGTAGAATGGAGACCAATATCGAAATGCATATATTGAACTTCACGAGAGATTGCTGACGAGGCACCTAGAAAAAGCTTAAGCTTTTGAGCTTAAATATTATTAGATTTGCAAGAAAGTTCTCGAAAAAAACTTTTGACTGATTTAAATTCCTTCAAAAACGAATCCACCAATTCATACAATGGAGACAGAAAAACCCGGTGTTAACCGGGCTTTCAGCTGTTTAGTCAATCGCTACTTAGTATATTCTATTATTTAAAAATTCCAGCTGACTAGTCCAGCTGACTCTGACTAGTCCAGCTGACTCTGACTAGTCCAGCTGAAGTGACTAGTCCGGCTGTCCAGCTGACTCTGACTAGTCCAGCTGACTGTGACTAGTCCAGCTGAAGTGACTAGTCCGGCTGTCCAGCTGACTCTGACTAGTCCAGCTGACTGTGACTAGTCCGGCTGAAGTGACTAGTCCGGCTGTCCAGCTGACTCTGACTAGTCCAGCTGAAGTACTTCATTTCAGGTTTTAAATGCTATTGCTATTGCTATTGCTCTTGCTATTGCTATTGCTATTGCTATTGCTATTGCCTATTCATTAACCAATTCAAACCTTGTCTAAAGGCTAGTCACTTAAAAACCTGAACTTTAGCTGAAGAAATCTTTGCTTTTTTTCGTTAAAAACTCTAAAATCTAGTCAAGTTTCTCAAAAAATTAGGGAAGAATTGATGGGTTTGACTTTTCAGAAATCACTGTGCAAACGTTTTCTACGAATTTTCTTTCCAACATAATAATATCTTAGATACTTTTCTGATGATTATTTGCATTTTTCTTTCGCTCACTTAAGCTTGGCGATGATGTGACGATTGGGGTCCGAGTGCAATATGGTGGCTGTACCGCATAGTAGGAACGATGGAAGATTTCTCGCTGAATGTACACCAATTTGTTGACTACAGTAATCAAATAAGAGATGAAATGCTTGAAAGGCTTGAAAGAAGATCAAACTGTAGACTATAGTAGGGCTAGATTTAGTTGCAGATTCATTTTCTAATATCTAATCTAAAATCTAGAGCTAGCAAGCGAGGCTGCCACTGTCGTACTAGTACTAGCAGACACTAGTACTAGTACTAGCAGGCACTAGTACTAGTACTAGTACTAGTACTAGCAAGCCAATCCGACAGTACCCAAGCAAAAAGTTTTATCGCAATGTTGTAGATCTATTATGTCAGCTGAATGTTTAGTGTTCTTTTGAATTGTTTTGAATTGTAGGTTTTCTGATACCTGTGGTGTTGGCGGTAGTGCGCTAGTTATCCTCAACAATAAAAAGAGAATACTGGCGATGGAAAGCTGCTGAAAATTGAGGCGAAATCGTTGCAACGGTGGATCGTTCATTCCTGAAAACTTGGGAAATTTTCGTTTTGTCAGATAGGGTACGTTTACAAGATTTCAGTTGATAACGGTAAAGAAACAAGCTCTGAATCTGGATACGAGGCAGAAATTGGGAAGAAGGGAAGAGAGGAAAAAGGAAGAAGAGAAGGAGAAGAAAGGGAGAAGGGAGAAGGGACAAAAGGAAGAAGGGAGAAGGGAGGATGGGAAGATGGGAAGAAGGGAAGAAGGGGAGAAGGGATAAGGGAAGATGGGAAGATGGGAAGAAGCCTAAGAAAATTAGCATATTCAATGTAAAGAAGGTGTACTGTAAGTGCTATAATGTAAATAGTCCCTTAAATTATTGACATAATGAGGTAAAATGAGAGAAAATCGCCGAAATTAGCAGATTTTAAGCTAAAGAGCTCACGCTTATCAGCAAGCGAAATTAGCATTTCGGAGAGAGAGAGAGAGAGAGAGGAAGAGAAAGAGAAGCTTTATTAGGTGAATAATTCATTTATCCCGCTTATCTTCATTTATCCAATGATCTAGAAAAGGTCTTTTTGCCTTTTCGTATCTCCGGAGATAATCCCCCAAAATTTCTCATTTCTCATTTTTATGTTTCTTTTCGATGAAATGCCATCAATTGACATGATTTCGCGAAGAAATCAACCGAAATCAGCGAATATTTTCACCAATAAAGCTAAGCTAAAACTTTAGCATAGATTTTCGTTGTGACATTTAAAAGAAAAAAAGAATAAAGACGAAGTGCCACTACGGGGGATCGAACCCGGATCGTGTGGGCTAGAGACCGACGCCCTCTCGACTGCGCTATGACAACGAAAGCTGAAGACAGAAAAACCCGGTGTTAACCGGGCTTTCATCTGTTTAGTCAACCGTTGGGAAGAGGGCCATTTCTACAGTCATCCAGACAAAAATGTTCTGATGGAGTGAGTGCTTTTAAGTTTTCGAGAGTTTTCTTTGAAAGATGAATTACAGTAATCAATATGTGGTTACAGTAATCCCCGAAAGAAACCTTAATCATTGTGAAATTTGATGTAAAAGCCCTAATTCTCTTAATGGTGGCTAGAAAAATTCCGTTTGAATTAGTGAAAAGAAGTGATTTCCCGGGAAATCCCCTAGATAATCCGGTTCACAATTTTCACGCTAATCTTTGACGAAAATTGAAATCGATTTCCTCTGATAAGCCTTTCTCATTCATCATTCAATGATCTCAATTTCAATTACACAATAATTGAAGAAGACGTGCGCTTAAGAGAAGAAGAAGTGAGCTTAAGAGAAGAAGACGTGCGCTTAAGAGAAGAAGAAGTGAGCTTAAGAGAAGAAGAAGTGAGCTTAAGAGAAGAAGTGAGCTTAAAAGAAGAAGAAGTGCGCTTAAGAGAAGAAGAAGTGAGCTTAAGAGAAGAAGAAGTGAGCTTAAGAGAAGAAGAAGTGAGCTTAAGAGAAGAAGAAGTGAGCTTAAGAGAAGAAGACGTGCGCTTAAGAGGAAGAAGAAGTGAGCTTAAGAGAAGAAGAAGTGAGCTTAAGAGAAGAAGAAGTGAGCTTAAGAGAAGAAGAAGTGAGCTTAAGAGAAGAAGACGTGCGCTTAAGAGAAGAAGAAGTGAGCTTAAGAGAAGAAGAAGTGAGCTTAAGAGAAGAAGAAGTGAGCTTAAGAGAAGAAGAAGTGAGCTTAAGAGAAGAAGACGTGCGCTTAAGAGAAGAAGAAGTGAGCTTAAGAGAAGAAGAAGTGAGCTTAAGAGAAGAAGAAGTGAGCTTAAGAGAAGAAGACGTGCGCTTAAGAGAAGAAGAAGTGAGCTTAAGAGAAGAAGAAGTGAGCTTAAGAGAAGAAGAAGTGAGCTTAAGAGAAGAAGAAGTGAGCTTAAGAGAAGAAGACGTGCGCTTAAGAGAAGAAGAAGTGAGCTTAAGAGAAGAAGAAGTGAGCTTAAGAGAAGAAGAAGTGAGCTTAAAAGAAGAAGAGGTGTGCTTAAAAGAAAAGAGGTGCGCTTAAAAGTCTAAAGCTCTCTTCGATAGTCTTTTATACATCGAATTAAATATTCTAATTAAATATTCTAATCAAAAACCTTTTTCTATCAGTTTATAGAGAAGTTTTTTAGCTTTCAAAAAGGTATAAAGTAGACATGGGCATCGGGTCGGATCGGGTCGGGTCAAAAGTGATCCGCTGACCCGACCCGCGACTCAGCTTTTCTTCCCGAGTCACCCGCTGACCCGACCCGACCGCCAAAACTCGAAAATGGACATGTCTAGTATAAATTGATATCACATTGTTATCTTAAGCTTTTGACAAAACTCCTACAAAACGATCATTCTTTTACACCAGTGTTCACTTAAAGAACAAAAGAAAAAGAGAATTGGATTGGAAGTTTTAACGCCTTAGAAAGCATGCATTTACACAATTTGAGCATAAAGTACATAAAATGAGAAAAACATTCGATAAAAATCAGCTAAAATATCAATTAATCATTTCATCATTTCGGATTAGTCATTTCAAAAAAAACTTTTCAATCATTTCAACAAAAGTGATCGCAAAACCTGATTGATTACCGCAAATCACTTCTTTTCTTTTTTCGCTTTTCCTTTCACGAAGAATCGAATTACTAATCATTTGATTAGTCAAGAGAAAACAAGCAAATGAAATCCCAAGATTTATATCGTTTAGCATGCTCAGCTTTTCTTCCCGAGCATGCTCAGCTTTTCTTCCCGAGCATGCTCGGCACCTCGGTGGGATGGATGGATAAGTGGGCGTTCTAAAGTAGCAAAATTCGTTAAGTAAATCACAAAACTCGAATCGAATTACTAATCATTTGATTGGTCAAGAGAATCCATTGATCCGATCCATCTGTCGATGGATCGGATGAATGGTGAATGGGTTAAACTTGAAGACTAGGAGAAACAGGGAAAAGCCAGAACCAGAATCTTGTGAGTCAGCTTGCCAGACAGCTTGCCAGCCAGTTTGCCAGCCTGCTTGCCTGCCTGCTTTCAGGCGGATCCTGCTTTCGTGGATCAGGTAAAGGTCTAGTTTAGGTCCAGGACTGTTTCAGTCGACTTTTTCAGACCAAGCCAGCTCATTAAAAGTATCGTAACTTGTACAGATACTTAAGTGCATCCAATTCATCAAATTATTACGATCACAAAATCCAATCAAGTCCAATTAGGTTAGTAGCTTAAAAGTATGGTGGCTTAAAAAGAAGTTATGCTCAGGAGAATCGAAAGGGGATTCTTTTACAGGGAGAGCACAAGTACATCAATAGGTACAGTATTTCGGAGTCAGAAATGATAGCTACAACTAACAGATGGGTGTAGATAGCGATCAAAGAGTTCTCAAGAAGTGAAAAAATATCAATGATCAGTTGACCTTTAATAGAGAAATAAGATATATCAATAGAAGAGAAAAGAAAAGAAATCAACAAAGGGATCTCCGTTCACGGTTGGATGCGAATTGGGAAGGGAAGAGAGGGGAGGAAGGGAAGGGAGGGAAGAGAGGGAAGGAAGGAAGGGAAGAGAGGGGAGGAAGGGAAGGGAGGGAAGAGAGGGAAGGAAGGAAGGGAAGGAAGGGAAGGAAGGAAAGAGAGGGACGAGAGGGAAGGAAGGAAGGGAAGGAAGGGAAGGAAGGAAAGAGAGGGGAAGAGAGGGAAATGGGAATGATTGATCCACAACAAGGGACAACAAATTCGGTGATTGATTGACAGTGGAATCATAGTTGTTATCATTAGTCATTATATTCTCAATCTTCCATTTAAAGTAAACCTCTCAAAGTTTGTGTTATGGTAACAGTGACTTTGACACTAAAGATTCACGGCACTACAATTGACAATTGGATTTAATGATGGCAAAGCATTAGCATATGAATTATATTAGAAAATACGGTAAATAATGATTTCTTTCTAAATTCGATGACTTCTTTGTAAGCAAATTTTTTTTAAACGTCTTCTAAAACTTTGTTTTAACAATCAATTATGAAGGCTATGGCTTCACAAAAATCTACCCGACCAAGCCCAAGCTAAGACCAAGCTAAGACCAAGCTAAGACCAAGCTAGATTTAGATTTACTGCTATTCAACTAAACAATTGAGAGTACCATTTCTAAAGATCTAAAGATCTAAAGAGAAAACGAGTTAAGAAAAGGAAACAAGTGCGTTTGATAGGATAAATGTGACAGAAAGGGCAATTTCACAATTTGATAACTCGATTAAAAAAAGAAACTGTTGAAGCTTTTAGAGGAAAACGGAAGGTTAGCGAGAAAAGTTTTGTTTTGAGAAAAGGCTCCCTTCTGAAGGCGTCCCGTAGAAAGCCGAATTCAAAAAAATCAGAAAAAAAAGGGGATGAATGCCTTTAACAACTTGCCAACTAACAACAACAACTAACAACTAACAACTAACAACAACAACTAACAACTAACAACTAACAACTGCCTGCCTTTAACAACTTTAAAAGCATTTCACTAAATCGATGTTAAGGCGGGGTGTTGGTGTAACGTTTGTTAGGATATCAGAAATGGCAATTCTAAAGCTCAGCATGATCTAACACTAAGACAATTCTATCTACTCAAAACTGAAACCAATCGAGTACAGCAGTTGCCATCGATCGTTAATCCCCTCATTTCTTGTCTAATTTTCCCAGCAATTTCTGTTCTTTTATTTTGTCATTAAATTAATTTAGAGAAAGAAGAGAAAGAGAAAGTAAGTAAAAGGAAAGAAAAGCAAGAAAGAATTGTCCATAAATGAGGTTGACTATATTATGCTTTTTTTTAGTTGAATAGCGACAAAACAAGATCACAATAATCATCCCAGGACACCACTCAACACACATTCAAACGATAAAAAGATACCTCAAGAAAGAAAGAATCACAGAGCAGTCAAATCAATTCCTGAAATTGTGGCTTCAAATCTAAGCAAGGTGAGAATATCATCAACATTACGGTTCCACAATTTAATAACTCGATTAAAAAAGAAACTGTTGAAGCTTTTAGAGGAAACGGGAGGTTAGCGAGCAATTCCAAAGCTCCAGCAT